CAGTGGGTGGGAAGGTGACGACAGGACGGTGCGTGACTAATGCACGCACTGCCCCCATGCGACGTCACAGCCAGTACAGCGCCCGCCACAGTGGGGAGTGTCGGGGCACACAATGCGCCTCCTCCCCTCGCTAGTATCCGCCCCGGAGCCGCGGCAAAGGTGTAAAAGAGCCACATGCGGCTCCAGAGCCGCAGGTTGCAGACCCCTGGACTAGGTTCTTCATCTCCTCCTCAAGTTCATACTGTACTACAGGAGGAAGGGGGAGGGGAGAGCAAGCATAGTCAATACAATACTTGTCAGGGTTAACTTCTACTTCCAAACCAGCTCTCTATCGCCAACAGTAGCCACCCAGATTCCTTACCTGGAAGACTCATTTATAGAATGCGTATGCAAAAAGCTCATCTGTTGCAGTGTTTAGACATGACATCACTTGCAGGGCAGCAAACATGTTATGGGCTCTTATACTATAAGTAGAACACGCACTCCTATATTGTTTGTACCTATCTTGTAATTAGAGGCATGTTTTGTGAGTGAAAATCAGTAGCTGAAGATGTGAATCTGACCTTAGTGCTGTAAATATTTCGTATCACATACTAAATCATTTTTATGGCAGTCTAACTCAGTGTTGTGGGAATTTTATTAATTCTCAAATGGTGAAACCAAGAGGCTTTGTGTGAGTAAAAAATAACACATATTGACAGTTTGCTGCACAAGAAAATACTAAGAGAGATTCACTTCTCAGTCAGTGGTAGACTGATGAATTTCATAAGTTGGTGGATCCCCTTAGTAGAAATAATGTTTGGAAACTACTGACTTAAGCTGATCTTGCGGTTATGAAAGGTTTTATTAGTACAATTTTTTTTGTAATTGATTTCTACCTTTCAATAATCATAGCGAGAATGCTGTGTTCATTTTAAATATTTCTTTTAATCATTCCTGATTGATTTAAGCACATAACTTTCAACTCCAAAAGCAAATTAGGTGTATTTGTTTTACATCAGTGCATGAGAGTTTTTTGGGTAACTGGTTTTTTGATAATTTAACAGCTGCAATGGTAGATAAGTACTAAAATCAGATAAAGATTCAACATATAGTGGAATATAGCAGTAGTGAGACAGTAGGCAATGCTTTTCTTAAAGAAATACAGTTAGACTTGACAATATTTTATATACCGTACATGCATATAGCCTGCTGGATCAGGCCAATGGCCCATCTGGTCCAGCATCTTGTTCTCACAGTGGCCAAGCATAATGGCAATTCATGATTAAGCCACATTTTTGTGGAACCTGGAGCGTCACTTTTAGGATTTCCTGAGTTTGCTTTTGGTTACACCTTGTGATTAGTAATCTTATAAACTTGGTTCATAAAACTAAAGTGGGGAGGATTATTAGGAAAAAGGTTTCTACATCTGAATAGTTACATGCATGCATTTAAAAAAAATGAAAATAAATAAGAATATGCATCTAGCTGATCCTATCCAAAACGGTTCCTATGAGCTAAAATTCTGTTAAGCAAATGTCAGAATCCTTAGGATCTTATGTTGGTTAGCAGCTCTTTCTGGTTTTCAATGTACCACCTCAGGTCTGATCTTCACCTTCTTTGCAAGTACCTCTCTAACTGTGACCTTGAGCTATCTTTTTTTTTTTGTTTTTTTTTTGGTATAAACCAAACCACAAACCAGCCAACATTAAAAAGTACACTCTTCCCTTAATCCCTTTTGCAGACCACATGCTGAAGTGGTTATCTGCCAGCCAAGGTTGACTCTAGGAAGCAAGTTAACCATGTAATTCGCAAACCAAACTTTATACAAGATCATTGTTTCTTTTTAAACAGTCCAATTCTTTCACACAAGCCAACTTCAAACCATGAGTTATGAAGCTGACATCTTAAACTAAGTGTTTGTTTTAAACTAGGATATCTAGTTTGTACATACTTACTTGAAAGCGAAGCTAAATTTGGCAGAAATTATCCCACTAGTCTTATGGGAGGAGCAGAGAGGAGTGAGAGTTGTGTGAGCCTCATTTTTTGCTTGGCCTTATGGAGGCTTTGTTATGTACATATTCAGTGGTCTGTGTTTGCCTGAGCTTGAGTCTGCACTAAGGAATCTTAGCTCCTGTGTTCTGATTCGATACATGATATCCAATCACAGAACATTTCAGGATTTGGGCCTCTGCCATTGGCCCTTAAACTCTTTAAGTCATGATTTGCAGCTTGGAAGTTTAGACAGCCAATCACGTCAGGAGTGAGAGTGGCCCAGGCCTTCAAGAATGTACATTAGCGGTTGCTTTGCCCCTGTTGTCCAGTTCTGTTAGTTCAATAAATGTTATTGCCGTTATCTATGGTTACCAGATTTTTTTCAATGAATCCGGGGACACTTTTTTGGGGGAAGCTGAGCAGCAACAGGGAGTCAATAGTAGGGATGGTGAGGCAAAAGACCCTGGGCTCAAGTACATAAGCATATTGTATAAAGGTGCAAAGCCCTTCTTTCGCACCCTGTAAAACATAAATGCGCAGAGTTTTTTAAAAACTGGGCAACGGCCGCCCACCCGCAACTCCCGAGCCTCCCCCGATCAGTCAAAACAAAGGGGGCAGGGGGCAGGAGATCTGTACTGCTGGATGTCCCCGGTTCCCCTTTGGCAGTGGCGGCGGCAGTGGCATTCAGCAGCCTGGAGCCAGCCTAGTAGCACAGTTGGCTCTGGCTGGCTTCAGGAGCTGCTCGCTGCCATGGCGCCCACCATTTTTCCTCTCAGGAAGTCCCCATATGATGTGTCTTGTTCACAACACATCATATGGGGACTTCTGGAAAGGAAAAATGGCGGGCGCCACGACTGCGCTACCAGGCTGCTGAGGCTGCCACTGCCACGTTTCCCGGGGACAGATTTGTAAATCCAGGGACTGTCCCCGGGAACCGGGGACATCTGGTAACCCTATGTTATCACTGTGTTTTGCCTTGTGGGAACCCACCTACACTTCAGGCTTGTCCTTGTAGCACTAAACAATGGTTTAGCATTCAATGCAAACCAGGCCATTCTGTTTCTGTGTTGAGGTTTTTAATGGTTTTTCTCCACCGTTATACGTGCTTTCTTTGATATTCTGTGATACAACCCTTTGAGTAATAAATAATTTTTAAAGTGGAAATTTTATAATATTTTCATTCTTTCTTCCCCTGCTCCCTTCCCCACACTTCCTTGAGTGCTGATGATTTCAGGCTTAGTTTGGATTGCATGAGAGATCATTGGAGACTTAAGATGGTATCATTGTAATATTTCTTTTATGTACATAACTACTAAGACTGCATCATGCTTTCTAAAGGAAACAAGTGTTTCTCAAAGTGTTTCACCTTTAGTTAACTTTCAGATCTGTTTGACACTCTATCTGAAGAACAGCTGTTCACTGCCATAATACCATATCTCTGCATTTCTCACTAGCCATAGCTTGTTATGTTTCAAAGGCAGGAGAGAGACAGCGTTTTGGTCATTAGTTCCCATAGAAGGAACATCAGCTTATCATCCGTGACTGTCAGAAAGCAATTAGGTTAATGAAAGATGGTTTCATAGTGGGGTGAATTTTGTTGTCAAGGTTAGCATGTACCATTCATTTGGGGTTCACCTTTTAGCATTATAATGACAATATATGCCTTTTTTTATTCGCTTTGAGATATGCTAGTTAAGCACCCTTTTATCATAATTTAGGAAATAATAATTTCAGATACACATGAATCGCTTCATTTCAATACAGTTCATTCACAGGGTCTAATTGGTACATAATGTCTCTGATGTTCATTAAAATGTAATAATATAAAGGCAGTAACACCAAGACAGTTGCATATGAAGAGCATATCTATTCTAAGCATAAACCTGCTGGTACTTATGTTCCACTTTTACCCACACCAGCTTGCATGTAACCTCAAAGCTGACAGCCTGTTACAAAACATTTTTTTTTAGTTTACGTAGTAGTTTTTAGATTTTTCTGGGAAACCATGATGCAACAACAAGGATAGTCGCCGTTCGAAAATAATCTTCCTGCCTTTATGCTTGATGTGATTAATAGCAACGAGAGATGCTGGTGAAGTTTGTTTGTTTGTTTTATTTATTTAGTAATGTATATAGGTTGCCTTTTCCAGGAAGGCAACTTTCACATCATAAAACAGAGTTTTCAAATTACAGAGGCAGTATCTATAACTTTAAAACAATGGCCAGTTAAAGCATGTAAGACAACATAAATCTTAGCAGAAAAAGAGCTATACAATCTAAGAGAGTTCTCTAAAAGTAAAAAGTAAAATAAAATTTGAAATGCCTTATTTAAGAGAAGGTGGACCAAAATAAATGGGTTTTTAAAAATCCACTTAAATATTTATAGCACCAAGGACAAATGTCCTTCTGTGGGGAAGGAATTTGACAATCTGGGAGCCACCACAGTTTGGGGGGCGGGGAAAGGCATGATAGTGGCTTATAAAATTATATGTGCTGTAAGAAACTAGATAGAGAAGTTGTTACCATTTCTCATAATATTAGGATACAATGAAGTACTTTCTCACACGGCTTTTGGAATTAGTTACCACAAGATGTGATGATGGCCACCAACTTCTGTAGCTTTAAAAATATGATTAGGCAAATTCATGGAGGACAAGTCAGATCACTGACTACTACTCTTGATAGCTACCTCCCAGTTATCAGAGGCACTATGCCTTTGAATACCAGCTGCTGAGAAACAACAGAAGAGAGGACTCTTCCCCTCATGCCCTGCTTGGGGGCTGCCCAAAGGCATCTGACTGGACATTGTAAGAGACAGAAGGCTCAACTAGATAGGCCTTTCATCTGACCCAATAGGCCTCTTCCTATGATCTTAATTTATAATGTTTTAATCCTGAACCAGTGTTCAGTTGTTTGTGTTGGTTAGGTTTTCAGAGTTATTTATTTAACAATATAACTAAATGTTTATAGTTCAAGCACTGCTGTATGTATTGATTACATTAAAAGACTTTCTTTTACGATTCACAGTACTATTTTACCGTCCTCTTTGGTCATGAAGGACAGAAGCCACTTGAACTCCGTTGTGAGGAGGAAGCAGATGGGGAAGAATGGGTAGAGGCTATTCACCAAGCCAGGTATGAAACCTCCACTGACAGTCTCTACCTAGTCAAGCACTCCTTTTGTTTACTGAGGAGAAATCTACTTCCTTCTCTCTCGTACTATTCTGGACTCAGCAGATCACACAACAATACCATTACCTGCCACTGATCTTCTTCCTTCTTCTCCTGATACAAAAAGTCTGGAGTTGTTCAGAGGGTCAAACTACACAGTACAGCCTATGCCTTGAAGGGCAGAGTTTTGTTGTTTTTTACCACATGCAGGAAGACTGTTCCAGATAGGGACTCTAGCATGGTGGGTTGAGGGATTGCCCCCCATAGCCCTAGTCCTGGCCTTGCAATCTCTTTCAGAAATAAGATCCCATTAAAGCAGATGAATTTTTTCCACAATGCAAATTACAGGTGCATGGTGGGAGCAATGGGCTAATGCTCTCAACCCACATGGTAAGGCCCCAATCTGGATCAGGCTTCCACTATGGCAACTTTTGCACTTAAAGGCACAGCTGTGTAGCAAACAACACACAGTTTGATCCTCTGGAGACAGTTTATTCCCACCATCACTGATCAGGAAGTATGCAAAACTCTCATCCCTCTGATACTTCTATACAGTAAGTCACTATACCCTACATATAAGTCTGTAGACACTTACTTCCATAGAGTAGTAATTTTCCTTTTATTGCCCCAGTATGATTCACTGCTCTGCCTGGCATGGTGGCTAACAACTTTTGGCTTGAGCTGTGGCACTAATAATATGAAATGCTATATTAAGAGCATGTGATGCAAGTAAGATGGCAGGCCAAAGGAGAATGGACTATTTCAGAAGACGAGGTCTTGCCGGTAGTGGAGGGAACTTCTAATGCCTGTACAGTGATTTGGAGAAGCATTCTTTATTAAACAAGTGTGGGATAATTTTTTTAGCACATACTTCACTGGCAACACGATTCAAATGGCTGGAGTTGAAATGCATTACTTTGGTCAACATGATACTTCCAGCCAATCAAATTGCGAGAGAAGAGAGTCTCTTGCACTCCTTTCAGTCAGGACGTGAGAAATGCTGAAAGCATGGACTGTAGCCACTTCTTCCTGGCGGGCATTCTGCTAAATGAAACATCAACCCTCCCCTTTTTTTTCCTCTTTGCAGCTATTCAGATATCCTGATTGAGCGGGAAGTTTTAATGCAAAAATATATTCATCTAGTTCAGATTGTAGAGACAGAAAAGATTTCAGCCAATCAGTTACGACATCAGCTTGAAGACCAAGACACAGAAATTGAAAGGCTTAAATCAGAGGTATGTTCCGATATGATGTGCAGGTTACATTTTATCACTATCTTTATGAGCCAGTTTATATATTAGGAATGCAATCTACTTCCCTTTTGAGTCAATGTTCCCCCCCCAAAAAAACAACAACCCTTAAATTATGTGAATGAATTGAACCTTAGGTTAATTGTGAAATAATCACCACTGAGTATGTAGACTTAATTTCCTTGCCTGATAATTTTCCTGACTTCATTCGTAATCTTCATTAATGATGCAGACTTTTAAAACTGCAACAGAATAATGCAATTTTATTTTAGTCTTTGCCAAAAAATTTTTAAAAAATCGCGTAGCATGGCATCATATTTCATTTCCCTAAAGCAGGAATTTACATGTTCTTATCCACCAAGCTAAAATGCATCCTACTAGCCACCTGTTGTAGCCTGCTAAGTGCTAAGTCCTGTTTTTACACTCTCAGGCAATCAGAGACCACAGACGTCCTGGTGACTGCTATGGTATGTGGGGCTTCGTAGATCACAGGTTGTGCACACCTACCCTAGAGTAGGTAGGTGATTATGTAACGCAAGTCTAAGAAGCCTCAAAGATCTGGAAATTAAGGGTATTGAAGTTTCAAGTTAGATTCCGGAACTGAGAATTCTGAGTAGAAAACCCTAACAGTTATGGGCTTTTCCTATTTTATTGCTTTTGACAGATTGTAGCTCTTAACAAAACAAAAGAACGAATGCGACCTTATCAAGGCAACCAAGAAGAAGAAGATCCTGATATTAAGAAAATCAAAAAGGTAAATTTCTGTTTAAATGGAAGAGAGTTTATAAAATAATTTGTCCACACCCTTCTTTGAATTAGAAGAAATAATTTATTATGTGTAAAACTCTTCCATTCAGCTCAGTCTGTGTTGAATTTTAAAACTGCAGTAAGATCACCTAATATCTGAAGTATACTATTTAGTCGAGTAGGCAGATAATGGTGAATTGGGGTAGATGTATGTACAGTGCATATCACATTACCCAGTATAAACTGCTTGAAAAAGGTTTACTGACCATTGTGTTTTCAAGCCACTTTTATTAAGATTTCTTTTCCTTATGATTTTACTTCATCCAGCCCAGTCCACAGATTTGTGTGCATTGCTCTGTATTTGACACTGTAGTTCAGTGGAAAAGTAAATGCTTTGCATATGCAAAAAATTCCCAGGTTCAGTCCAAGTAGGGCTGGAAAGTACTGCTGTCTGAGCTGCTGGAATGAGTTATCATAGGCAGTACTGAACTAAAAGGACTATTAGTTTGACTTGGTGTAAGGCAACCATGCCTGGCACCAGCATACAGCAAACTGGGGCATATGGAAACTCTCACAGCACTGCTTCTGTGCCTACTGCTGCTAGTACTCAGGCTGGTCACTTGCCCACCCATGATAATGATGGCGGTATTCATTGGAGCCTAAGCTCTGCATGCTAATTAATGGCTGATCCCACCTCCCAACGGATGTACATCGGGGTGGGAATAGCATAATTAACCCATCAGCACCAAGGAATTTGTGGATGTGCAGCTGATGAGCATTGCTGCTAGGCTGCTCCTTCTGCATGGCCTTTTCACGGCTCTAATGGTACTGCTTTACCCACCTGCCTACAATTACATTGATGGAGAGTTCTACCCATCTACATATAAGCATACAAAGGTGTACAAAGTTTACTCACCTGCTCACAGCAATGTCTGAAGATTGCAGAGGTGCAAGAAGAAGAAGAAGAAGCAGCTACACACACACACACACACACACACACACACATATTTCAAAGGTCATTAAGAATGTGTTCTTCTTTTGTTGAATTACCAGGTTCAGAGTTTTATGCGAGGTTGGTTGTGTAGAAGAAAATGGAAGACAATTGTCCAGGATTACATTTGTTCTCCACATGCAGAAAGTATGCGAAAGAGAAATCAGATTGTTTTCAACATGGTTGAGGCTGAATCTGAATACGTACATCAGCTTTACATCCTTGTGAATTGTTTTCTAAGGCCGTTAAGAATGGCTGCAAGTTCAAAGAAACCACCAATTAGCCATGATGATGTCAGTAGTGTATTCCTCAACAGGTACCCCATGTGTTTATATATTTAATTAATTAATTAATTAAAATATGTCCAGACCTCTTTCATCTTCAAATATGAATGTATACAAAGGGCAGTTTAAAAAACGGGTGAAGAGAAATAAAACAAATACAATAAAATTAAAGATAAAGCAGCAGTACTGTAGAATGTAATCACAGTGCAATCGGGTACATCTTTAGAATTGAGTTCAATGAAATTTACTCGCAGATAAGCATGGCTTGGATAAAACAAGTATTTGATGTATTTTGTAAATCTTGTTCCATTATGATGGAATGAAGTAAATCCAGCTTTGGCAATTTCCCAACTTTCTTCTTCAGAGTATTTCAGTCACAGCTTTTTTTCTTTTTTCTTTTAAAAAAATATTCAGGTAGAAGTGTAGATCTTTTGCCTTCTTGAAGGCAAAAAATCTTCCCCCGCCCCCGAAAATAAAATAATAATAAATCATGCTACATAGATGAGGTCCAAAAGTTAGTCAGTAACATACTTTTGTTTATTTGATAAAAAATTATAACCCACTTCTTCCATATGTTTTGAAATATAGCTATTTATGCAGTAATGTTCAAAGAATATCTTATAATGACAAAGTCCAACTTTTGTTTATTGTTTCAACTTTTATTTCTTCGCAGTGAAACTATAATGTTTCTTCATGAAATATTTCATCAAGGATTAAAAGCAAGAATAGCAAACTGGCCTACTTTAATTTTAGGTAAGTGCTCTTCACTAGGGCCATAATTATTTTTGCATGGCCATATGGGGATATTAGGAGCAATTGCATCCTCTTTTTTTGCAGATGTCAAGTGTGTTTTTCAGAAGATATAACCATTTTAGTAAGGTGTAGTATGTTTCATTATGCAGAGCGGCTGAAAAATTGCCTCTGCATATCAGTTCCACTGTTCAAAGTATACAACTTCTGTCAAGAGAGGAAAGGTGGTAACACTATTCCTTGTTAGGACTTCAGATTTTGCAGTTCTGGATGTAGATAATTTGCACTTAATGTTCTGTTTTATTTCTAAATATGACCTATGAAAAAAAGTGGATGGCAGCAACAATTTACTTTTCTCTTTGTTCTGTATAGCTGATTTATTTGATATCCTGCTGCCAATGCTGAATATTTATCAAGAATTTGTTCGGAATCATCAATATAGTCTACAGGTCCTTGCAAACTGCAAGCAGAACAGAGATTTTGACAAACTTTTGAAGCAGTATGAAGCCAACCCTGCCTGCGAGGGCAGGATGCTCGAGACATTCCTTACTTACCCCATGTTTCAGGTATTTTTGTTGTTACAGTGGTTTGGGGCATGTTATAAACACTACTTATATCACTTGGTTAGTAATACTAATGGCTGTTGCTCTAGCAGATTGGTTGTTGGTTGTTGTTGGCATCCATCAGTCTTGAGAGGCAAAGGAAGAGTGCGCCTTTGGGTGTAAAGTAAAACCATTGGAGAGTTACAGCACCTGCCATGGCTGTAGAGGCTGATACAGAAGAGACGTGTTTTGTTGCAAGTTGGGCCAATACAGAAGGTGTCCTGTTTTGCTGCTACAGGTGCACCATGGCGTTTCTTTTCTTCTCCCAGCAGTCATTCCTCCTATGGTTACTGCTGTGGACAACCTGACTGTCTTGTCTCCAGGTACTGTGATCGTCTGCAAGGCTTATAACCACATGGCGGGGTTAAGGTTACCAGCCTTTATGTCACATTTGCAGACATTTTTGTAACACAAGAGTTGGTGTGCCAGCAGGCCTGGTACCTGAAGCTCTTGGCAAACTTGCCATCTTCCATTCTGTGTATGTGACAAAGCCAGTATAGACGTCGCTGAGTCAGGACTATGAGCAAGATGGGAATGTGGACTTGGGAAAGCACATCTTTATTTGAGACTCTATACTTCCATGTGATGCACAAAATCGTCCTGGCGCAGCACATGTGGAAAGGCATTGAGGCATCACTCCTGGTGGTTGTAAGTTGCCTACAACTCACTTCCATAAAGCAGAGTACTCAACACACACTTGATAGACCTTCATCTTGGTATTGGTCGTTAGCATCACATTTTCCCTTACCTTTGGGGTATGTCTGCCTTGCCAGTTCACTTGTCTAGCTCAGATTTGATGGAATGGTTGCTTGTTGTGGTAGAACCCAGATAGACAAAATCATCTACTACTTCAAGTCTGTGGTCTGTGGAGTGCTGACAACATCCTGACCCAGAGTGTTGGTCTTTGTCAGGCTGATGGTGAGGCTGAACTCCATGCAGGCTTGGGCAAAATGGTTGATGAGTCTCTATAGAGCTTCCTTGGAATGGGCTGTCAAGGCTGTGTCATCTACAAACAACATCTCTATAACTGTATATTTTATCTGGTGGAAGGGTCTTGAGCATAACAACCTTTTATATTACAGTCACAATTCGAAAGAGCTTGTAATACTTGTTGTTCAATATATTTTTGAAGACATTTTGTTTTTGTTTTTTTAATTATTTGTTCCTATACCCAGTGGTTGTGTGATAAATGAAATTTTCTGCTATCAAGATAAATTCAATTCTCTTAATTATAGCACATGCAGTCTGAACACTGACAATGAAGAAAAGAGGTTCCTGCAAATTCAAGTCATGGTGGTTTTTTGAAACATGCAACGCTTGTGTAAAACTCCCATCAAGACCTCTGAAGCCACCTAGAAACTAGGCACTAGACATGCTCACTGTCTCATTCTGTCAATAAACCCTGGCAGCAGAGAGCAGCAGCAAACACAAGTCTTCAGTCACTGAAGTCTTCAGTCATTAAAGAAAAATGAAGTGCAAAGACAGGCTCTTCTTGGAGGAACAGGGAATTAGCCTGGGAGAAGGAGCCTGCTGGGTTTCCTGCAGAAATAAGTGTAGACTCAGGGAACTAAAGTGTTTCTTTTAAGTTTGGAGGAATCTAGGTTTCCTTGCTACCTAGTCAGCTTTAAGCAGTAGCAGATGTTGGGGCAGAGCTGTGGGGCTCACCTGACCTCCGGTCAATGGCATACCAAGATAAAGAGAAATGAGGCGGCGGCAAGGTTGGCACAGAATCAATGGACCAGTGGGCACACTGGATCAGCTCTGCTATTGCATTTGCACCTTGATCTTGTAGCTGCACACACACATGGAAACGCAGCAGTGATCTGACTGGCCGGAAGTTTTCGAGCATCTTGGATGCCAAATGTTTCGGTTTTCGAATGCTGAAAACCTGCAAGTAATAGCTTCCATTTTCAAACACACCTCGGAAGTTGAACGGCTTCTCAGGTGAGTCTCAGTTTTCTCCACTGAAATTGCTGACTGCCTATTGCGCCTCGGTTGTCGAACATTTTGGAAGTCAAACGGTCTTCCGGAACAGATTATGTTTGACAAATGAGGTTCCACTGTATAATAATGAACTCCATTAAGCTTCAGTCTTATCTATTGCCCCTCCCCCTCCTCTAGTTTACCCCCAAAGAAGAGATGGAAGCTTTTTTTTCTATTTCAAATTAACTGCGGTTTGTTGTGTCATTGAAATCCAGACAAACTGTGGTCAATCTTAACTATACTTTGCTGAAACAAGACAACTTCAGGCAATACCTTATGGAGCTGGCATGTTTCCATAAATTATAGTTCAGATTAACCACAGATTAAGGTCCAGAAAATATGATGCACTTCAGTTAGTTTGAAATTAAAAGGAAAGCTTCCAGTCTCCTCCTCACGAGGAGGGCAGGGAAAGAGTGTACAAGCCCAAGGTGCACGGACGTTTGTTTTCATGATTTAATTTTCAGCATTAGATCCAAATGCAGCCATTATTTGCCAGCCTTATACAAACCCACACTAGGATTTTCATTTTATCATGGGATAAAGTTTTCTGGTAGCCTGAGATTGATGGGCTTCATGATAGACATATCTGTTTTGCATGTTAAACACATTTAGGACTAGTTGAACAACTGGAGAGGAAGGCCTCTATTCGGTTTGACATCCAGGCAACTAATTCTATGTAAAAACTAATGGATCTAGATGGGACTATGCATCCACATTCACCTCCTGGCAGTTAAAGAGGCCTAGATGAACAGTATGGGGTGCATCTGCATTCACTGCACATCTGGAAGACAGAATCTCTGCCACTGAATTGGGGCTACTGTTAGTTTTTCAAGTTACTTATTTATCCTGAAGATTTCTTTTTAATGTAGAAAATATTTTAGTTGAGTGAGTTTATGCTGATAGAAGAAAATAAATGCAAAGAATTAAAAAACAATTTCTTTTTAAATGTTCATCCCCCCCCCAAGACCAAGTGTGCTTTTAAATATAAACTTGCTGATAATCCCTTTCACCCATCTTTAGATTCCTAGATACATAATAACCCTCCATGAACTTCTGGCTCACACACCGCATGAGCACGTAGAAAGAAAAAGCCTTGAATTTGCTAAATCTAAGCTAGAAGAGCTTTCAAGGTGAGACTCCTTTTGTTCTACAAATATGAGGCTAAAACGGAAACTGTGGATTACAAAATCAATGCGTTATTTTCAAAAGATTGAATTATGGTATCTTTGGGCACAGCAAAAATAAACATGCAGTGTCTCCAGAGAGCTGAATTTAACTTTTAAGAGACCACTCAGAGGCCAGCATTGCATTGTGTAAGCATAGTTGCACCTAAATTATTGATAGGGGTTTATTTTATTTTATTTTATTTTGGTCTTGAGCCGAATTTAAATAGTCTGAGTCTCCCCACTTGTGATTCCCAGCAACTGACATTCAGAAGCATATTACCTCCAGTGGTGGAAATAGAGCATTGCCTATGAGAATAATGCTATAATAATAAGTAATTCAAGAATAAATCCACCTAAAACACAGGAACATAACCAAACATGCCAACCTGGAAAAACAAACTAGGTGTACAGCATGCTGCAGTACAAAGGAAATTTATATTTTAAAAACCTTTGAGTGGCGCTAAAAGGACACTAGGATGCAGGTCGCACTGTGGGTTAAACCACAGAGCCTAGGGCTTGCCGATCAGAAGGCCACGGTTCGAATCCCTATGACGGGGTGAGCTCCCGTTGCTCGGTCCCTGCTCCTGCCAACCTAGTAGTTCGAAAGCACGTCAAAGTGCAAGTAGATAAACAGGTACCACTCTGGCAAGAAGGTAAATGGCATTTCCGTGCGCAGCTCTGGTTCTCCAGAAGCAGCTGAGTCATGCTGGCCACATGACCCAGAAGCTGTACGCCAGCTCCCTCGGCTAATAAAGCGAGATGAGCACCACAACCCCAGAGTCGGCCACGACTGGATCTAATGGTCAGGGTTCCCTTTACCTTTACCTAAAAGGACACTAGGCAAGCTTCTTTGGAGAAAGTATTTCACATGCAGGTTCCAGTGCTAAAAAGACTTTCTAGCCATCACCTAGCTAGCCTCACATGGTGGTGGGACCTGGCAGAGAGTTGCTCATGATGAAGGTAATAAAGTATGGGAAAGCTATATGTGCTTTATGCATGCACTTCATTTCCTGAAGCTGAACATTCCCTTTTCTCTTTGCAACAGAGTGATGCATGATGAAGTAAGTGACACAGAAAACATACGGAAAAATCTGGCAATAGAAAGAATGATAGTAGAGGGTTGTGATATATTATTGGACACCAGCCAAACTTTTATACGACAAGGTAAGACCATTTTCTTTAGCATGCATTTCTACAGTATTAAGAGAGCATAGCTGAAAACCAGAGTTAATGTTGGCATCATTGGGAAAAATACGGGTGCAATATATAGCTGGCACCTTAAGTGTGCGATTGTCCAGATACAATTCATGAATATTAACCCCACAGTTTTGGGCTGCTGCTGAGCCCCACCTCTATGCTGTTTTTTTTCCCAGGGGTCATGAAAAACAGCAGCACAATAATAGTAAAGCACCCGTGGGAAAGTAACATACACAATAACCGGACTATCATCTTCAGTGGACCAGAAATTATCTACAGCAACATGGAAAATAGGTCTGTCTGGCCAATAGATGTTGCAGTCCCAGATGATGCCAACATTCGGGCAAAAGCACAAGAGAAACTTGGAGTACTTGAAGCTTTGTCAAATGGTGGAGAGATTGTGAGGAATGAAAACAGCTGTCTTTTGTTTCCGTTTTTCATCTGTGCTTCAGGAACAGCTCAAAATGATACAGTCTGATAAAAAATTTTCCCTTCAGATTGTCTTTTCAGTGCCAGAGCCACAGTAGGAGAAAAATTATGAGAGTATTACATTATCTGGTATACTTGAAATGCCCAGGGACATGCATGTCTTCTGGAAGACCTCTGCTGTGGCTTTTTGTGGAAGCTCAGAATTTATGGTACACAACTATGTGCAGTGCAGGTTAACATAGTCATACATGTAGGGTATCCATTATCAACTAAATATCTGGCACAAGCTCCCTTTAAGAGAAGTAGCTATGACCCAGGAGGCCAGCTCCTGGAGAGTTAACTCAGAGGTGGGGCCTGGCTGGAGAAGCTTGTTACTCTGTGCAGAATAAAGTCCGTTCTCCCATCCACTCAGCTTGTAGTGAGTCTCTGTGTAAACAGCAGAATACAATACAATGTACACCAGGCACCTTCCAGATGTTATTGGATTCCAGTTCCATCAGCCGCAGCCAGCATGGCCCAGTATCAGTTATAGGGATGGAAGGATTCCATTTAGGTTCTCTTAGTTTCTCATTTTCACCAGTCTAAAATTCAGCTCTCCACATTTATGGATTAAAAAATTCTCATGAGAATTCATGTGAACTGAATCTAATTTCACCTTGGAGGGACATAGTTTCCTTACCTCTAATACACACTTTTATCAACCTCAGTTGCCCAAGTACCACTTCTTCTGTAGCCAAAATTTCAACAGCAGGTTCTGGGGGAACCCAGAGGTTTTCAGAAGTATAAACCAAATCCTTCCCAAACAACTTGATGGAAGGGGAACCTCAAGACAGCCCAGTGAAGTTGAACATGATGAGTAGGGATTAAACGCTGAGTGACTGTTGGATGGGGGATGGAACAAAGTATATTAGAAAGCTGGTTGGCTGGAATCTTGGACAGCAGCAGCATTTTGCCCTGCAGTGTTTTGTTGCAGGCCCAGTTTATGATCCATGAAAGTTTCCAAGAAGAAAATGAGAAATGAAGCTACTGACACCAGTAGGAAAACACCATTAGGAAAGTCTGTAGCCACTTGCTCAGCTCTGTTTTCCAGCGACCACACTGAGCAAGCGTCATATACTCAATGAAGCTTGCATTTTTTTGGTCTTGTTTTCAAAAAGAGAGCAGGCAGTGTTTATCTTAAAATTTCACACTGTTCTGATTGAAAACAATTATCTGCTTCAGAAGTTTTGAAAGTGCCACAGATTGAAATCCTCATCTTGTGGAAGTCATATTGAAAAAGCAACACATGACAAAGAAATGGCAAATCCTTGATCTTGTTATAAATATTATTGATGGCTGGAAGAATTGCACACATCCAGAAGTTGATGCTTATGCATTTTAAGTGCTCTCTTTAGCTCTCTGAACAGATGATACAAAAACAAACAACAGAGACCTCATCTGGTCTCCTAGGAATTTAAAGTGTTCTCTCAGCTGTTAATGCCCTACTGATCAGAGGAAAACCTTTATCTGCCAATGATCTGGATTTAAAATGGCTGTGGAAGTGACAGGTGTAAGACTTGGCACTGGCACTAACAGTCAGTGTACCTGGCACTAACTCAACCCCTTTTTGATGGTCCTTTGGATCACTTATGCTGCAATTCTACACACAGGTACCAGGGAGAAAGCCTCCTTAAAATCAATGGGACTTTCTTCAGTGTACAGTGGTACCTCGGTTTACAAACTTAATCCATTCCGGAAGTCCGTTCTTAAACTGAAGTGCACTTTCCCTAATGAAGCCTCCTGCTGCCAGTGCCCTTCCGCCGTTCAGCTTCTGTTCTTAGACAGAGTTTGCAAACTGGGACACTACTTCTGGTTTTGTGAAGTTTGTAAACCAAATAGTTCGTAAATAGGGCTGTTCTTAAACTGAGGTACCACTGCATTTATTTTACTTATTTCACAAGATTTATTACTGCTTGATTGTCATAAAACCTCAAAGCAATTTACAGAAAGAATAGATAAGTATAAGTTTGTATGGTCAGTCTGAGAAATTGCTTGTTCTGCAAAATGTACAACTATATAAATTTAAATATTTCTTGTTAGACATTGCATTGCTGGTCTTATAACTTCTCACTTTCATGGCAAAACACCATTTTTGAATGTATTGGTAAAATTATACTTGAAATGTATAAGACCAGAAAGTTTTACTTTCCTTGTGTGAATTTCCTTGTATGACTAACTCCATATTGGAAGTAGAGTGTAAAAACAAAACAAAAAGCAACCTCCATTCTAATGGAATTATTATGTTGTGTGTAAATTCTCTATGCTGTAAATTCTCTATGTAGTATACCATTCGCCTATACTTCTGTGTATTAAAATATTATCACTGAGTAACTGTTCATATCTGTGCCAAAATTGTGCAGAATCCAACATTGCATGAGTGAACTTCTGCTAATGCACTGGGACATCCCCTCCTCAACCTTCCTGCAACCCCTGAAACAGATCTTGAGGGTGTATGGGATACTGCTAAGAGGAGGCGTGGAAGATGGAATTAGAAGTCCTTTCTGCTCGTGTGTGTGTGTGTGTGTGTGTGTGTGTGTAAAGTAGTTAAGCATATTTACTTGGAAGCAAGTTTCACTGCATTCATTTGGTTTACATTTTGATTTAAAATAACTTCTAGGCACGTTAAAAAACAACACATTCACCTTTACAGAGTCTCATGTGACCTGATATCATGCTTAAAGTGTTCTTATTTGATTGAGTTAGCCTTTGTGAGCCTGTGACCCTTGGCTTAGAAAGAAACAACATTGGCATGTAAATTTTGCATGCATAGGGGCTGATGCACATATGATGAATCCATTGGTTGTGGGTCACTTGGAGCCCTGCATTGGGAAGTGCTTTTTGCAATATCCATCATCTTTAGGCACTTACTTCCTCATATGTATGTAAAGGAATTGAGCCTTAATGCCTCAGTAATATCTGATTCTGCATTGTGTGTCTACCTAAAAATCTGTGAATTAATAAACTATAGTATAACAACATTTTTAATAGTACCTTTTTATTATTATAAAAAGAAATATTGCATTCTCAAAGGCACATATTTCCAGGGCTCTGGACAATGTTATTAAAAAATGTGAGAAAAATCACTTAACAGCTACTTTAGAAAAATCACCTGTTACAGTACTCTTTGTTCAAAACTTGTTTTGATTTCTTTCAAGCTCTCAGTCCCAATACTAGAGAAAGCTGTTTTCCCTCCTGAGTTAAGACAATTTGGATGCAAGGGGTATGAATGAACTTTCCAGTAAATACGTTTAAAAACATGCTTCTGCAGGTTCATCTGAGTTAATGGATATAGTTTAGGGTCACGGGTGGCGCTTTGGTCTAAACCACTGAGCCTCTTGGGCTTGCCGATTGGAAGGTCAGCAGTTCGAATCCCCACGATGAAGTGCACTCCCATTGCTCTGTCCTAGCTCCTGCCTATCTAGCTGTTCGAAAGCACGCCAGTGCAAGTAGATAAATAGGTACCACTGTGGCGGAAAGGTAAATGGTGTTTCCGTGCACTCTGGTTTCTGTCACTGTGTTCCGTTGCGCCGGAAGCGCTTTAGTCATGCTGGCCACATAACCCAGAAAGCTGTCTGTGGACAAACCCGGCTCCCTTGGCCTGAAAGCGAGATGAGCGCCTCAACCCCATAGTCGCCTTTGACGGGACTTAACCGTCCACGGGTCCTTTACCTTTACCTTTATATAGTATTGGGCCTAAGATTAGATGGACCTCGGTTTAAACTTCTGCTATGGGAATTTAAGGTCTCTTCACATTTTTAAGTCCTTTGTGTGGGGTTTTAATTATTTGTTTGGAAGATCGTTATTGTACCTTTGCAAATTATATATATACACACACACACACACACACACACACACACGTCCAGTTGGCTTGTAAATTAAAAACAGTAATGCAAATTACACATCATGAATAAAATTATTCGGAGGGGAAGCAACCTTTTCCAGTTGGGCACCACTTCCTCCCACCATGTTTTAGAGAGACTCCCAATATTATGGAGAAGAGTTGCATAAGGCACAAGCACTGTAAGAGAAAGGATGGGATCAGAAAGTCACCTCCCCCTTTGACTGGTAGGAGTGACCCAGGAAAAATCTGGGCCCCAAGTGGCAATCTGATGGTTGTATTAGCAACAGCAATCTGCTAGGCCTATACAGTGGTACCTCTGGTTACATACTTAATTCGTTCCGGAGGTCCGTTCTTAACCTGAAACTGTTCTTAACCTGAAGCACCACTTTAGCTAATGAGGCCTCCCACTGCTGCCGCTTCGCCACTGCGCAATTTCTGTTCTCATCCTGAAGCAAATTTCTAACCCGAGGTACTATTTATGGGTTAGCGGAGTCAACCTGAAGCATATGTAACCCGAGGTACCACTGTACCTATATATCAGTGCCGTAAATAAGTAAAAAATTGTTCTGGTACAATGTGGAGACTGTTTGGTGGCTGTTATTGTCCATTTGAACTAAAATAACACATCTTGGGCACATATTTTCAGGGTTCTGGGCAATGGAAGTAAGGTTTCTCATCCCACTGTTGTTGTTTTTTCTGTGTCTCAATATTGCAATATAATTGCTGCTGTCATGCAGGCTAAGCTGCCTTTCAGCTATTACAGTGGCTGATGTTTCATCAAATGGCTCCTTTAAAATGGAAAACCTTTTAAGACCCAGCCTGAAAAGCAGCAGTCCTCGATCAGCGGTTCTCAACAGAATGATGCTGCAGTGGTCCTACCCCACCATAAGCCTTTTCAGCTTTTCAGAATGTACCTGTTTTGACAGAATGGCTGCCTCCATGACAAACCTACTTATCCCATTATATAATCAAACTGTCACTCTTCTTTGTATTTTATCCCTCTACTTGAAGACATCATGGTTAAATTATTTTTATTCCAATAGCTATAGCAAAAAAGAAAAAGAAAGAAGCAAAGAATCTGTTCAGGCCCCAGTCCTACCATTAAGCAAATGTGGGAATGCAGGGAGCAGCATCTGTGTCTCCTGCACCCCCTAAAACTAGCTTGCTGGCCTCGGGTGTGGCATAGAAAGCTGCTCCTTCACCAGTATTGAAGTAAGATTTAAATGCCACTTCTGTGCATTAAAATGGGGAGAATAACTTGGATGCCAAAAGATCTGTGTTGCATATTTACTAGGGACTATACCACACTCCATCCTGCCTGATTTTTTTTAAAAAAAACTTTCATTGCATTATGAAAGCAGAATTAAATATATATATAATATAATCCAGACTGCCCCGTGTGAGAGCTGAAAATGATTCCACTTAAAGAGAATGGATTTTCCCTTTGGTTTCCTGCTTCAGCTTTTCTTGCCAGAGGCTCTCGTGCCTTTCAGGAGCAGCTTTTTAGGAGGTGCAAGATGTAAAGTGGGATAAGTTCTGATACATGCTGTCAGAGCTGCTTCCAGATCCTAGCTCACAGAGGATCACGCTAGCCAGCGGTCACTTGTAAAAGTCTTTTATTGAGTTACAGTTTCCATTCTCAAGCTGCTGCGCGCAACTCTATGTCTTAAGGGTTAGACCGGCGAAGCTCCGTCTGAGTCTCCGCCCCCTGTACACCAACTTAATACCCTAGCCTTACTCCACCTTTTCCGCCTGACTGTTCTTCTCTGGGTCCCTCTGCCCCCCGGGGTCTCTTCCTTCCGGGACTCTTCTGACGCTGACCCCCCGGACCCTTCTGTCTCCTTGCGTCGGGCTTTAGGACCTGGCTCCCTTTCCGGGCTGCTCACTGCGCCACCTTCCTGTGCATTTGAACTTGGCGCGCGCGCCCAACCTTCCACTTTCCGTCTGACCGTTTCTTCGCTCCCCGATGGAGGTGTGGCCACTCCTGACTCGTGCCCTCCCTCCTGTTGTGAGCTACCAGCGCTTGATACCTGGCGCCCTTCCTCTCCCCTGCTCTCTGTGGGTGACGCTGGTCCCACTTTCCCACTGCTCCCGTCTGAACCCCCTCTGGCCCTTTCTTCCTGGGGTGTCCCCCTAGTCTCCCCCCTTGCCCTGGCCACTGGTGCTCCTTTCTGTGAATCGTCTGATTCACTGGAAAGACTCGGAGATCTCGGGTCGTCGTCATCACTCATTTTCTCTTCTGCCTCCTCCCCCTCACTCTCTGTTTCCTCCCTTGCCCTTGCCTCTGCTCCTGAACCCCTGACACATGCAAATATTATTAATATTATGGTATGTCCTACCTTTTTCTCTGACAGGGACTCAAGGTGGCTTTCAGCTAAAACAGAAACAATTGAAATTTTAAAAAGCAGTGATTTAAAAACAATTAAACATTAGTATGTATCTGCCATAGGGATGCGGGTGGCGCTGTGGGTTAAACCACAGAGCCTAGGACTTGCCGATCAGAAGGTCAGCGGTTCGAATCCCCGTGACGGGGTGAGCTCCTGTTGCTTGGTCCCTGCTCCTGCCAACCTAGCAGTTTGAAAGCACATCAAAGTGCAAATAGATAAATAGGTACCGCTCCAGCGGGAAGGTAAACTGCGTTTCCATGTGCTGCTCTGGTTCGCCAGAAGCGGCTTAGTCATGCTGGCCACATGACCCGCAAGCTATACGCCGGCTCCCTCGGCCAATAAAGCGAGATGAGCGCTGTAACCCCAGAGTCGGTCACATCTGGACCTAATGGTCAGGGGTCCCTTTACCTTTTATGTATCTGCCAGCAAATTTGTTGATGCTACTGTGCCAAACATTGCCAAGCTCCTGATGCACCTTTGCTTGCAGGCTGGAAAGGAAGGGAAAGCAATTGTAAATTCTCAGCACACACTTTTCATATTTCTGTTTAATGTGGTTTGCTTGTATGGTTTTCCGGTTCTGTGCAAATCTGAGGGATCAAAATAAAGGAAAAAAATCATTTGTTCAGTAGTGCACCAGGAATAGTTAAGATCACAGCATTAAAGGATTGAGGAAGTAGTGAACACAGAAAGGAGAGCAGCAAATAGTCTGCTACCATCAGTGGAGCAGTTTGGACTGCAATTTTCCCCAATTTATCAGATGATCCCTGTTATCGGGTAAATCCAAATCTACAGGGGAAAAGCATAAAGACTGGTGTTGTCTGAGGGTAATGTCATATGGACTACACAAATAAAAAGGGGAAGGTTAACAGCAGCAAACACACAGTAACCTCTGATGAGGACAAGTCCACAGAATGAGATAAAAAAAATAAATCCATTTACAAGACTTGTTGAAAAACAGACTTCAGTAGGCATCAAAAACAAAAAACAAACAGTAGAGACGGCATCTGTCTGACATGTAATGGGAGGAACTTCCATTATCAATGTTTTGTCGTTTTATTTTATTATTTTATTATTTTAATGTTTCTGTTCTTCTGGAAAAGTTTTAGAGATGTATAAAACAAACTTTTAGTAATCAGTCCGACCGGTGGTTGCTTTAAGATCAGTGGTTGGAATTACGTTACTTTGTTATCCTGAGAGAAAATAAGAAATTTTGAATAGCAAAGGCAAATTGAGTTTTGCTATTGCCCAGAGAGTATAGTTATTGGGTGATTAAGAAATATGAATGAAGTAATTTTTTTTTAATTGTTTGCTGAATTTTGTCTTACAATTGATACTCTTTTTGTGTAATTGAAATGCTGTAGCCCTCTACAGTTAGGTTGCTTAACTTCCATTGACTTCAATCTTGCGCACTGGCCTTAAACAGCCTATGCACAGGATTACAGTCAAACATTTTCCTGCAGGGTAACCCAGTGTAGTGTTTGTTGCACCACAGCTCCTATCATGCCTGATTCCTGGCCATGCTGCCTGGACAAAGATGGGAGCTGGCCACAACATCTAGAAAACACCACACTGGCTACTCCTACTTTAGTGAAACCAGTGTAATTTGGATGGTCATCTCTACCTGCCCCACATGGTGTGCTAAGAGAGATATACATAATGTCAAATAGATAATGAGGTATAGAATGTGAAGGATTCCACTTATTAATCTTATATTTACAATGTACCATTTGCTTTTGTAATCACTAGGTACTCTTATTCAAGTACCTTCTGTTGAGAGGGGGAAACTTAGTAAAGTTCGCCTGGGATCATTGTCTTTGAAAAAAGAAGGAGAAAGACAATGTTTTTTATTTACAAAACACTTTTTAATTTGTACAAGGAGCTCTGGAGGAAAGCTGCATCTACTTAAGGTACAGTGTTTTCATAGCTACGTCATTTACATTTAGCATGGTAGAATGTAGAGCATAAAGTTCCTAATTCTGGTGTTTCTCACTACATGTTACATTTCATTACTGCATGGTAGTTTAATTTCGGACATGAAGGATTTTATGTATTTCAGTAAATTGAGCCACTGAGGCAATGCACAAGAATTGCCTGGAAACGGTATCTCAGTATGGGAAAACTTATAATTTGAACAGAGTGTTAGCTTTTCTAAACTAATTGTAATTGAAATTGAAATCTGGTCACGGAAATGTTACAGCAACAATTTTATTGCAAGGGACACACCATCCATTGCACGCCTTCATCAGCCAGCTGGTCGCATGGCTTAACGTGGCTCAAGGTTGGACTGGCCCTGTATATATATAATGCCGTATCCAATTATATAGCCTTCCAGTATAACTTTACAGTGAAATATTTTTCTTGAATTATTCCTCTACATTGGATTGAAACTGTAATGTATTCAAATCTGAAAAAAATAGGTCTGCATTAATCTGTTTTTCTGTTTGGGATTCGGATACCTTATTTATTATATTCACATATTTCTCCCATGGAGTTGCTAGGTTGGTATGAATTGAGTGTGCCATGCCATTAATCCTATCAGTAAAATTGATTTTATTTGCTGTTGGTTAATACACTGTAGAATTATTTTAATTGGAAAAAGGAATACATGCAGCTTAAATTTATCTTCATTTTTTTGGAATTAATAATGTTCTTGATTTTTGCAAGTGTGTTCAGCTATTGGAACAATCCTTTCTAGGAGACTGTGTAACATTAAATTGCATAATTTTGCATAATTTTAAGTGGGGGAGAGAGGATAAAATAGATTCCTGAAAAAGGTATTATTTATATCCCTAGGCAGGAGGTGTTCTCTCGTTAATAGAATGCACACTAATTGAGGAGGCTGATACGAATGATGATGACTGTAAGTTATATCAAACTGTTTAATATAATTATAATGTTTACACAAACATTAGTGTATTTTTCTGTACAATATATAATGAATACAGTCCCCAGATAATGTGTCTGTCGCAGCTCCCAAGAAAACACAGGATTGAAATCTACATACCACAAGCCTTTCCTGCCTCCCATAAATTGGTCTACTGCTGCTTCCACCAAAACCACTTCCCTCAGTCCATCAGAGGAAGGCAGACTGGGATGATCATAACTGTGCTATACTCAGCAGCTGTTTGTCAGGCTGAGAGGGGTTTGATTGCCAGTGCCAATTGACACTGGAGAGCAGGAAGGTGTGCAGCAATATTATTATTATTATTATTATTATTATTATTATTATTATTATTATTGTTAAGGTGTGCAGCAATATTATTATTATTATTATTATTATTATTATTATTATTATTATCATCAATATTATTATTATTATTATTATCATTATTATTATTATATTTATTTATACCCCGCCCATCTGGCTGTGTTTCCACAGCAATAGTATCTCCTCTCTCCAGCTGCTTGGTGCAGGGAAGAAGGGAGGACAGCTACCCAGTGCCAATCACCTAGAGAATGAAGGGGAGCGCACAAGGGATCACTGAGATTGTATTGCACATCTCTCTGCATGTATGTGGGTTCACTGTGGTGTGTGTGTGTGGTGGGGAGAAAGAGAAAGAAAGAGAGAGATGTGTATGTCTGAGTGGGACCCAATACTTACCACTAAATGCTGCCCTTGGGGCTAAAAAAGGTTGTCCAGGCCTGCAATAAAAGGAACGGGAGTGTGCCTAGTTGTTTCATATGAAAAGATGATTTTTAACTGGGAAGTTGCATCAGTGGAAAGTTGGGCAGACTGGGGATGGGGGGGGGCATTGCATCATATCTGATTTGGACCACGATCCAGCGATCAGCAGGAACTAAGACTGCAGTCTCAACACATATATACCTTCAGGTTGGCCCCATTGAACTCAGTGGGATTTAAACTCTAAGTAGGCATGCATAATGTAAAAGATATAAAGGAATTGTGCTCTCAGGTTCAAGTTACAAAACAAGAAACCACATGAGGTTTTGGTGGCTTCCTGAATCGAGAGCAAACTGCTTGGTCCCTGGGGCACAAACTGGGGCTCTAAGCTTTCCATTGCTGTAGGTTTTCCCAGTCATTTCAGTGGAAGGTAGAATTCTCTATGGGTAGTGGGGATGCATCCATGAAACTTTGTTAAACAAAAATGGGGTATATTTGCATGGAGTTCTGTGCCTGTGTTAGATCCCTATAGAACTTCATATTGAGGGACATGTGGACCAGAACTCGAAGCACTAGTTTCATAAGCTGAAGAACATTTTAAACTTATTTTTCTCAATCAGCAGCTTCCCATGCTACATGGCAAGCCATTTCTGAAATCATAAACATCATAAACAGTTTGTGGTATTCCCTGGGAATCCAGTGTTCAAAGTAGAAAAAGTAACTGTGCTAATGAATAGCCCTGGCAGGGGCCTAAATCACTCTTTGGAGTCTTGCCACACTGTACACAAACAGATGCTGCATGCAGGACAAATTTATCTGTGTTGTGCCTTGAGTTTTTATCCGCCTCAGATTTCCATCTGTAATTGCTTTGTTCTTTGTGAAGCGAAAGGTTCTGGGCAAGTGTTTGGACATCTTGACTTCAAGATTGTGGTTGAACCAGCAGATGCACCTCCTTTTACCATTGTCCTGTTAGCCCCTTCACGGCAGGAAAAAGCAGCCTGGACAAGTGACATTAGTCAGGTAATTTCACTTTCTTGGAGATTACATGTTTTACTCACCATGCCATAATAATTTCACGGCTTGATATGTAGGAAATATAATATTTTGGTATCAGTAACAAAATAGTGCGACCGGGGTTCAACTAAAAAAAAAAGGTAACTTGCCTATGTTGAACTGGTGCTAGTTCAACAATAAATAATAAATAAATAGACTTTGATAGTGAAGGAGGAAGAAACAGTCAAGAAGAGAGACAATGCAAGATTAGGCTACACCAACTGCACAAAATACGTGTACCTCTTCGAAGGGGTGGGTGATTTTGGGTTAGGAATGCCATGGAGTACGAACCCTTTTTCAAATGAGGGGCAGACCATGCCCCCTTCTCACATGAATACCAGCATGAAAAAATGCTAATTGCAAACACAATCAATTACATTTAAAGTAACTCCTGTAAGGTTGCAAGCCTCATACTAGTTACTTGAGAACAATTCAGATGAGATCTGTAAGCTGCTTGTGAAGCAAGCCAAAAGCAAACAAAGGGACATTCATTTCCCCTCTGCTTTGGTAATATGATTGGTGCTGCAACCTTTAATCTATTTAACTGGTACATTAATCAACTAAAGCTTTAATCACAGATTAGAATTTGCCTCTGATTAATTGGTGGGACTGAAACTAAAAAGCAAAGTTCCTTCAGGATATCCAGATATACTGGTTTCCTCCTCCTCTTTGTACCGAAATTGATGAGAATTAAGCTTACTGATGGCTCTCTCCCACCTCCATGTTTATCATATTAACAAATATTTGGATTGGATTTGAGTCATGAATTTGCCCTTGAAATAATTTTTTAAAAGCTCAATATTCATAAAAGAGCAGAAAACGTAATAAATCCCCCCACCTGAAGCAATGTCCTGGAGCAAATACTTCACCTTTCTATTAATAAAGAATAAAAAAATCACTGCTGGTTGTCATCACACTACAGATATTTGGAAATACAGAATATGTTGAAGAGTATGGCATCTGTAACAGAATGTAGGTACAGTGGTGCCTCGCAAGACGAAATTAATTCGTTCCGCAAGTCTCTTCGTCTTGCGGTTTTTTCGTCTTGCGATGCACGGTTTCCCATAGGAATGCATTGAAAATCAATTAATGCGTTCCTAGGGAAACCGCCTTCAGACCAGGTCCGGGGACAGACTGTCCCCGGACCTCTTCTGAAGGCTGGGGGGGGGGACAAGGGCTTTTCTTCCCACCCCCAGCATTTTAAAAAACCCTGGGACAGCGGAGGACTTCTCCGCTGTCCGGGCGATCTTAAAATGCTGGCGGGCGGCATTTTAAAATCGCCCCGGGACAGCGGAGGACTTCTCCGCTGTCCGGGGCGATTTAAAAGCCCCTGGGAAGGCAGGCAGGGGGGACAAAGACTTTCGCCCCCCCCGCCTTCAGAAGGTGTTCCCGCCCCCCCCGCCCGGCTTTCGCAGCAGCGCTACGAAGCCCGGCGGCTGGGGCAGGTGTTCCCGCCCCCCCACCCGCTTCGGAGCAGCGTTCCGAAGCAGGGTGGCTGGGGCAGGTGTTCCCGCCGCCCCCCGCCGGCTTCGCAGCAGCGCTACGAAGCCCGGCGGCTGGGGCAAGTGTTCCCGGCCCCCACCCCGCTTCGGAGCAGCGTTCCGAAGCGGGGTGGCTGGGGCAGGTGTTCCCGCCCCCCGCCCGGCTTCGCAGCAGCGCTACGAGCCCGCGGCTGGGGCAGGTGTCCAGCCCCCCACCCCGCTTCGCGAGCAGCGTTCCGAAGCGGGGTGGCTGGGGCAGGTGTCTTCCCGCCCCACGCCCGGACTTTGGCAGCAGCGCTACGAAAGCCCGGCGGCTGGGCAGTTCGAAGGTGTGCCCGCCCCCCCGCCCGGCTCGCAGCAGCGCTACGAAGCCGCGGCGGCTCGGGGCAGGTGTTCCCGCCCCCCGCACCCCGCTTCGGAGCAGCGTCCGAAGCGGCGGTGGCCTGGGGCAGGGTGTTCCCGCCCCACGCCCGGCTTCGCAGCAGCGCTACGAAGCCGGCGGCTGGGGCAGTGTTCCCGCCCCCCCACCCCGCTTCGGAGCAGCGTTCCGAAGCGGGTGGCTGGGCAGGTGTTCCCGCCCCCCGCCCGGCTTCGCAGCAGCGCTACGAAGCCCGGCGGCTGGGGCAGAGTGTTCCCGCCCCCCCACCCCGCTTCGGGCAGCGTTCCGAAGCAGGGGTGGCTGGGGCAGGTGTTCCCGCCCCCCGCCCGGCTTCGCACAGTGCTACGAAGCCCGGCGGCGGGGGCAGGTGTTCCCCGCCCCCCCCCGCTTCAGAGCAGCGTTCCGAAGCGGGGTGGCTGGGCAGGTGTTCCCGCCCCCCGCCCGGCTTCGCAGCAGCGCTACGAAGCCCGGCGGCTGGGGCAGGTGTTCCCGCCCCCCCACCCCGCTTCGGAGCAGCGTTCCGAAGCGGGGTGGCTGGGGCAGGTGTTCCCGCCCCCCACCCCGCTTCGGAGCAGCGTTCCGAAGCGGGGTGGCTGGGGCAGGTGTTCCCGCCCCCCGCCCGGCTTCGCAGCAGCGCTACGAAGCCCGGCGGCTGGGGCAGGTGTTCCCGCCCCCCCCCCCGCTTCGGAGCAGCGTTCCGAAGCGGGGTGGCTGGGGCAGGTGTTCCCGCCCCCCGCCCGGCGGCTGGGGCAGGTGTTCCCGCCCCCCCACCCCGCTTCGGAGCAGCGTTCCGAAGCGGGGTGGCTGGGGCAGGTGTTCCCGCCCCCCGCCCGGCTTCGCAGCAGCGCTACGAAGCCCGGCGGCTGGGGCAGGTGTTCCCGCCCCCCCACCCCCCTTCGGAGCAGCGTTCCGAAGCGGGGTGGCTGGGGCAGGTGTTCCCGCCCCCCGCCCGGCTTCGCAGCAGCGCTACGAAGCCCGGCGGCTGGGGCAGGTGTTCCCGCCCCCCCACCCCGCTTCGGAGCACCGGGAGAAGCGATCTCCCCGCAGCCCCTTGCTTCAAAAGAGGTCCAGGGGCAGACCTCTTTTGAAGCAAGGGGCGGTGGGGAGAAGCGATCTCCCCGCCGCCCCTTGCTTCAAAAGAGAAGACCCGCTGTCCCCGGGGCAAGCTTCGTTTTGCGAAGCAAGCCCATAGGGAAATTCGTCTTGCGAGGCAACTCGAAAACGAAAAAACCTTTCGTTTTGCGAGTTTTTCGTCTCGCGAGGCGTTCGTCTTGCGGGGTACCACTGTATTAACAAAGCAACAGTAGAATTATTTACCTTGCTGAACTCAGCAAATAGCAGGAGAATAACCAATGATCATGACATCTCCAAAGTGCAAGGAAAAGGAACTAGTAAAGGCACACAGTTGTAATTACGGGATTTGGAACGGTAAATGGAGTTCACTGTTATGCCCACTATAAACCTGACCCGGCGCAATCAGTCTGCTCAGCCTTCATGCCTGGCTCATAATGAGCTTGACTCAGCACCAGACCTTCTTGGAGAGTCTCCATCACCAGAGTACCCCTTAACATTAAGATCGTGACAGGGAGGGAATAGCATTATGGAGGTTGTTAAAGTGTTTATTCAAAAGACATCCATTGCCAGGAACTCTGGGAAGTCTAGTTTTCTGTTCCTTCTGGCTCAACAGATAGAGCTTTTCATTTACTGTGACTATAACAGTTGAGATTTACAAGAATTATTTTTTTTAAACCACCACCCTATATTTCCACTCCCCTTTGTCATTATCTTATGCAGTGTGTTGACAACATACGGTGCAACGGTTTAATGACCATAGTATTTGAAGAAAACTCCAAAGTCACTGTGCCACATATGATCAAGTAAGTTTGCTGATTTCGACATGCAGCCATACATATCCCTCAAATGCAAAATGGAAACCTTGCTGTTTTGCTTCACTGCACTATTAACCCCATGTTTCCCAGGGAAATGCTGCATTATTTGTGAGCCGACTTTGTTTGCTTTTCAAGATTTAGAAAACTATTAGTCTGAATAGTAATATACCAGTTTTTGTTCTTGAAATCATTGTTATAATTTTACATTTGATGGGTGTGCTACTTTATATGTGTTTCTTTTAAGATTTTCTTTAGACTCTGGTGTTACCCTAGCAGACATAACCAACCTTAGACTGTGGGCAGTATCCAGTGAAATAGATCCATTAGCACAAGGATTTCTGCTTGCACAGTGGAACTTCCCCTCCCTCCCCTCTCCATGCATGCCCCTTGTGCCCTCCAGAGGCTTGAGGAAAACCCTAGAACAGATTTAGGGTATGAAGAGGAGGAAAAGGGGAACTTGTGTTGCATAACTAAAAGTCCTTGCACTAGGGTGATACAGTTTGGTTCTCAATCTTAATCCGTTCCAGAAGTCTGTTCCAAAACCAAAGCGTTCCAAAACCAATGCACACTTTCCCATAGAAAGTACAGTGATACCTTGGTTTAAGAACAGCTTACTTTATGAACAACTTGGATTAAGAATGCTGCAAACCTGGAAGTAGGTGTTTTGGTTTGTGGACTTTGCCCTGGAATAAGAACATGTTTCACTTCCTGTTGAGTGTGTTCCATTTGTAAATTAAGTCCCCTGCTGCTATGTGAAAGCACGCCTTGGTTTAAGAACGCTTTGGTTTAAGAACGGACGTCCGGAATGGATTAAGTTCGTAAACCAAGGTACCACTGTAATGCAGAATAGATTACTCCATTCCAGACTTTTAAAAACAACCCCTAAAACAGCAATTTAACATGAATTTTACTATCTAATGAGACCATTGATCCATAAAATGAAAGCAATAAACAATGTACTGCAGTCACACAATCAATCAATCAATAGCTGAGCTGAGTTCCACACAGTCACAAAAACAAAACAAAAAGAGCAGCAGAAACAAAACGCAAAATAAATAGAAACAAGCAGATCTCAGCGTAACATTCAAAACGGAAGTGTGGCACTCAGATTGGAAGCGTAACACTCAAAATGGAGCACGTTCGGCTTCCGAAAAAGGTTCGCAAACCAGAACACTTACTTCTGGGTTTGCAATGTTTGGGTTCCAAGTTGTTTGAGTACCAAGGCGTTTGAGAACCAAGGTACCACCGTGCTCCCCTATGCAGCAAGATCCCTTTCACTGCAAGCCTCTCCACTGCCCCATGTAGAGCTGCAATGCTGCTGAAAGGCCATGTATGGTGTAGTGGAGGCTGGGAAGTGACAAGCACATTTATTCCTGATTATAAAACCCACTTGGAGTACAGTAATACAAATTAAAAATGAAATACAAAAGCCCCAAGGATTTTGGGATACATCCTACTGCATTCTGCTAGAATAATCATTGGGGCTTTCCCACACATCCCACATTTAACTTTTGGTTGCATAGGCATGAGTTGCATAAGGGTATAGAAAAGACTGTCTTTTATATTTAAAAAATGACAGCATCTTTAAAAAAAAACAAAAAACCCTCAGTACGACTTACGAAATGATGTTTAATAATAGTCTTTAAATAATTATATTATGTAGATCTGATGCACGTCTTCACAAAGATGACATTGACATCTGCTTCAGCAAAACACTAAACTCCTGCAAAGTGCCCCAGATTCGTTATGCAAGCGTTGAACGCCTTTTGGAGAGATTAACAGACTTGCGATTTCTCAGTATTGATTTCCTTAATACTTTCCTACATACTTATCGCATATTTACTACTGCAGCAGTTGTCTTGGAGAAACTGTCGGATATTTACAAAAGGCCTTTCACCTCAATCCCTGTTAGGTGAGTTCCTTTCTACTCATTATGTTCTCGTGAGATCTCCTGTCATAATAAACCCTGCAAAATGCATTGGACACAATTTTACATATGTTTGTTTTTACGCTTACATACTGCTTACTCTTTCGGCCATGGGAGAAGGAATAAAATCCAGCTGCGCTCAAACATCCATCCTGGACTTTGTAATGCCAATCATGTCATACCTACTGGTATGGTAGATGTTCTGTTTTGAAATTTGTCTCTTTTATTTTCCAATATGCACATAACCATATTTCAATATTATGCTTGCAGCTTACACACATTTATTTACTTAATTTGTATATTGCTTTTCATCTAAAGATCTCGGGGCAGTTCACAGCATAAAAATAAAAGCACAAAATACATAATAGAAACAAGAACAAAACAAACCCATAACCCACTCTCCCAACAAGTCACATGTGCCATTTCAGCTTTACGCGGTTGAACGCCAGCCAGTTGAAATCACACAAATTAAATGCTCCCTCCAAATCTCCTTGCTCAAATTCCAACTCTCCACAAAGTTTGATGCAAGGGCTCCTGGGTTTCCACTTGCAAAGGCTCATGGGATTGCTAGACACTGTTTTCGCGCCATTTTTGCTGTTCTCTTGCTCTTTTAGGGCCATTTTTGCCCTTTTCGTGCCATTTCCAGGTTTGTGGCGATGTGCACGTGCTCTAAATATGCATAAATGGGGAGTTTCCTGTATGTGCCAAAATACAAATGACCTGTGTTCCTTTATGAGTAGCTTTTAGCATGCACTGTTCAAAATCCGTTCTGGCCTTTCCTTTCTCTCCTAGATCTTTGGAATTGTTTTTTGCTACTAACCAAAACAACAGAGGAGAACACCTGGCTGACGCAAAATCACCACACCTTTGCCGCAAATTCTCTTCCCCTCCACCTCTATCACTCTCTAGGACTTCCTCGCCTGTCAGAACCAGAAAACTGTCACTAAGTTCTCCACTAAATTCTAGGATAGGGGCTTTAGATCTGTCTACGACCTCTCTTGCCAGTAGTCCTACCTCAACATACAGCCCTGCCACTTCACCACCACCCACGCTATCTAAAGTACCATTGGACCTTAGCAAAGGCCCTTCATCTCCAGAACAAAGTCCTGGCTTTGCAGACGAAAACTCAGAGAATCCACGTATTGAGCTTTGCAACAAACTAAGGAGAAGCATCCGAAGAGGTATTATATATACGATATATTGTGTAATTAAAGGTTGCTGTTTTGCAAAGAAATGTGGGTGTGCTGGTACAAGGGAGGTGGGCATGCTTATGTTTTGAGCATCACCCACTGCTCGAGTGCACAACTTGAAATCCTCTTACCTTTATGTGCACAAATGGGAAAGGAACAGTGGAGGGATAAATTGGCACATGCTGCTTCTTCTTCACTGGGAGCCAGTGTGGTGTAGTGGTTAAGAGCGGTAGTCTTGTAATCTGGGGAACCAGGTTCGCGTCTCCGCTCCTCCACATGCAGCTGCTGGGTGACCTTGGGCCAGTCACACTTCTCTGAAGTCTCTCAGCCTCACTCACCTCACAGAGTGTTTGTTGTGGGGGAGGAAGGGAAAGGAGAATGTTAGTCACTTTGTGACACTTCTTTGGGTAGTGATAAAGCGGGATATGAAATCCAAACTACTACTCCTCCTCCTCCTCCTCCTCCTCCTCTCCTCTCCTCTCTCTTCTTCTTCTTCTTCTTCTTCTTCTTCTTCTTCTTCTTCTCCTCCTCCTCCTCCTCCTCCTCCTCCTCCTCCTCCTCCTCCTTTAAAAGACCAATGCAAGAAATATAGAAAGAGGATTTTCTAGAGCTGTAAGATGCAAGCCCCCCCCCCCCCAATTTGTGTAGATCCCTTGAGCAATTATTTCAACAAATCATGGCTGGAATTTCTGGTCCTGTTCTAGAGTAGCTATAGGGCTCCTTCACCTTTCATATCTGCATAGAAGAAAGAATTCCAGGAGGTGTAGCTTACATGACAAGCTGCACCTGCAATTCCCTCTTCGGTGCAACTTTCAGAAAAAAATCTATTCACAAATAAAATGAAAATTAGCACTAAACTTGTACAATATTCCGCTATATTTCTGGAAGTCATTTTTATATTGTGTGAAAACACAGATACAATGCGGAAATCAACAGTTTGGGAAAAGTTGGGAAGACGGAATAAAACGCCACATGAATGCAACCTTGGATGACTTTAAAAAGGGATTGGGCAAATGCATGGAGCTTCAGTCTTACCCATGTCTATGAGTCGTGGTGGCTGTCTCCAGGATACCAGTTGCTGGGAAAGAACAGTAGGAAAGGGCTATTGGCCTCACATCCCACTTGCATCCTGTTTCCCAGAGGCATCTGGGGAACAGGGTGCTGAATTAGATGGACCTTGGGGACCTTCGCACATCTCTGTGAGCTGTGATAAATGTCCTGGAATTGGACAAAGAGCAGAGAAACGTATTGATGCTTTTATGTAATTTGTTTATCTGTTCTACGAAAGGTTCTCCTGCAAATTCTAACCTGGAAACTGGTGCTCATGAAAATTTCTCTCAGCCTCAGTTTCCTTTTCATTTTTTACTTACATGAGTTGTATTCTTCTCTCCCCCCCCCCCCAAGCTTAGCCCCTTTTTATTTCTTTGGAGAAACCTGACAAGAATTACTGTAAAACTGAAGAAAGCATAATTCCTTTGAAAAAGATTTTTTTTTAAAAAAAAAAAGCTCCTTGGTGAGACACTTATCCTCTTCATCAAAGGATTTGTCACTATAGAAAGTAATATATTGTTTAACAAGAGATCTTTTAGATTGACATTAGTTATAATGTCAGTGGTAATTAGCCAATCATTAATTAAATAAGCTTAAGGAATGGTGTCAGAAATAATACTTCTAGCAAATAAGAAGTTAAGCAAGTTTAGATCTCATTTGCAGATAAAAAATGCCTAGGAGATTTTCAGCAAAAGTTAGTATCTGTTATTATGCATAACAGTTACAGCTGGCTTTTTCTACTAGTCTCTGTTCATTTGTTAGGTACAGTGGTACCTCGGGTTACAGACGCTTCAGGTTACAGACTCCGTTAACCCAGAAATAGTACCTCGGGTTAAGAACTTTGCTTCAGGATGAGAACAGAAATTGTGGCGCGGCGGCAGCGGGAGGCCCCATTAGCTAAAGTGGTACCTCAGGTTAAGAACAGTTTCAGGTTAAGAACGGACCTCCAGAACGAATTAAGTTCTTAACCCGAGGTACCACTTTATTGAAATGCAGACTGTACCCTATGTAATAAATTCTACTGTGTTAGCTAATAACTATGTATAGCCTGAGATAAAACACGTAGTTCAGTTCTCTGTTGACATAATTATTTAGTTCTACAGCAGAATCCCAGTTATATAATCTCAGCAGTGTCAATGAGCATTATGCAGAATGGAAAAGCAAAATAATAATAATAATAATAATAATAATAATAATTATTATTATTATTATTATTATTATTATTAATAAATTAAAATGACGTATTTTATTCCTGATGCCTAAGCTAGTGACTTCTTGCCTGAATATGTATCAAGAATAAGGCACATGGAAAGTTAACTGTGTAAATGAAAAGCAACAAAATCAAACAGAATTATGCAAAACAAACAGAGACGTGCAAGTATAATGAATTTCCATGATTTATTCTGCTGATTTTTATTTTCTTGGTTGACAGGCAGAATATATGCAGCCTTAATCTTTGTTAAGGTGTGTCCCCTGAGGCAGAAGCATCAGATACAGTGAGGATTTTGATAACACAAGTGAGAGAAGCTCTCAGGTGGAATTAAGAGTTTGATACAGTAGAGAAGTACATTGGATACATATATATAGTTTGATAACTCTATCCTTCATAATTAAATTCAACCCTCACCAACAAAGGAAACTAGGAAAGTGAATACATGTAAAAATAATTAAATATAATCTGCCTAGTTTTTAGGTGAATAACTTTGATTTTTGTATGAAAAAAATGAAGCCTTGAATAAGAAAAGACCTTTGAAGCAGAGATATCAAATCCTATGAGGATTTTGGTAACAAAAGTGAGAAAACTCAGTAGTAGCATTAGGGTAATACACTGGGAGATTATGTTTTGCATGTAGTTTGACAAATTATGCTTCAGATTTAAACTCTCTGTTTACCAACAAAGGGAGCAAAGGCAACAGGAAAACATAACAGTTGAGAATACTTTTCAGTCCAGCGTTTGAACAGGTCTGATACAGCAAATACCTGTGAGGACAACATTGAACTGAGGGCAGTCTTGCAGATAAGAACAACCCGAAATGATGTTGACAATTTTATTTTAAATAATGGCATGTGGTACCTAATAGATGAAATAAATTTGTCACCACTGCTAGAACTGTATGGAATTCTTACCACAACACAGAGAGTGGTCATTCACTCTCTTTCACCTCAGTTCTTTTTGAATCCATAAACTCTGCAGTGCTGTTTGTTTTAGATTCTGGTGAATCTGATAGTTGAATTGTTTGTTTCCTGTCTTTAACCTTGTTTCTGAGATTTAATGTGTACCACTAGACATTGGTCTGAGTAGATGCAAAATCATGAAAGAGCTATCTTCATTATTGATAGTACAGCCTATTTTGTTTTAAATTGGTGTCCTTTATTCCCTTATTTATAAGCTTTATAGTTACTTGTGTCATTGGTTTCTGTCAGTGTCAAGTACCCTGATATTTTATCAATACTATTAAATTTATGTGAGCAGGTGTTGCACTTGCATAAACTTATTTCCCGAATTTCCTAAAGGGTTGTCTCAGAATATGTTACATGAGCAGCGTAAACTAAAGTTCACTGACAGAACTATAAAATGATGTTGGCTGGTAGAAGTAAGTGCTAGTATCCCAAACACCAGGAGCTCCCAATGTGCACATAGAACTTCACAGTGATAAAAAATGTGCATGTAAAGCCATCTTTTTTCATGTGCAGAGCTTTCATCAACATTGAACAGAACAAGGAAGACCCCACTGATCAATGTCCTATGATCAATGTCTTAAGAACAATATTACTTTGTTCCCCATATATTTATATTAAAGGTGATTTTATAGTTGACCATTATACAGGGTCTCATTAATTTAAATACATTAGTGGGTTTTTGTTTTTTTCAAACCAAATTTTTCAATCATTTCTTTTCAAAAAATCATTTAAAATGCATCTGTTTTGTTGAGAATCTGCACACTGAAAAAACAACCTTTTGGTTTTTAGAGTTTAAGAAGGTGTAGCATAATTTCATACCTGATATGTGAAATGTTTTATGATTGAATTATAAAGACCACTCGCTGTCTCTATATTAAAGTGCATACTTCTTAAAGCAGCGGTTCTGGAATCTGTATCAGTGGATCGCACTATCCCAGAAAGTGCCTCAACTGTGGATACTCCTGAGCTCTCCCCGTGTAGATCTCCTTCGACTCCAAGACATCTACGTTATCGACAGCCAGGGGGTAAGGTTAAAAAAAGCAAAACTTTAATACATTGCATGGTTATATCAAAAGGACCTTGTAGTGATAATAAATTCCGAAACAATTTGTTTACTATCTATTTCTGTTCTCTTTCTGCAAAATGTAAGAAATAAGAAGATGTGAATAACACCATTCCAAATGATTAGCATTTGAGCAGCAAGAGAACGAAAAGCATATTTGCGTTAGGATGCAATGAAATGTTCTGCAATATTTTGAACTAGATGTACATTTGTTCGAGAAAAATATTGACTTGAGTCTTATAACTGACAGATTCTCATGAACCAAACTGAGGGCACATATTGTGCACTGTGTATGGTGATGAGATGTATGATACCGATCACTGTTAGTGGGAAATAAGTCTATTTGTGTGGCACTGAAAATGTACAGATGGTATTCTAATTACTCATTACAGGATGTGAATAAATTGCTTAACCAGGAGTGAAATTCTTTTGGTAGAACTCCAGTAAATTGTGTGTCCCACTAACAGATGCTTAAAGGATGCAACATACTGACAACTTGGTCCTGAACCCAACACTTCCATTGCATGAGCCGGAAGTAACTTCTTTTTCCTTGACTCTTTTAATCAAATCCATGGTGGCATTTTCACATCTCTCTTTGGAATCAGGCCATGTGGAAGTTCAGTATGATGAGAAATTGAGTGTGGAATCTGATTGTGCCTTCCCCTCATGGGAATGCTTTTCCATTTTAAAAAAAAATCATTTTTCATTACCATGTCTCACATTTCATTGATTATAACAATACATTCAGTCACTGACTTCCCTTCCCCCCTTCCATGGTTCTATTTATTTATCAATTAATGCTGCATATTCTAATTTCCCCTTATGTTCATATTTATCTCTCCCCCTATATATTTAATGCTTTAGACTGCTGAATTTACATTAACCCTGCTGACATTTCAGCCTGATTAACATGATTCTTCAGATATTCTGCAAACATTTCCCGCTCCTCCTTAAATATTCCATCTTCCTATTCTCTTATTCTGTTAGTTAAATTCCCCTCATGGAAATGTTTTTGATCCAGGTGATGCCTCTGCCAACAGGTGGGGAGAGGGGATTTTTACCAGCCCCCTGTCCCAAATGCTGCCCCCTAAAAATGTCTTCTGGAGGGTTGGCTGCCCTTCTGCAGGAGGAGGTGGGAGTTGACCAGAATATATATTCCTTCCTTTTCTGTTAGCAGAGGCCTTTGCTGAATCAAAAACAAAATCACAAAATGTTCTGTTTGTTTTTCCAGCAGGAAGGTTTGCTTGTATATATGCATGCTTAAACAATGTTTTTTCCTCTACCATAAAAGCATACATGGAGATAGATATCCAAGCTTGTGGTTTTCATTTACAAAACAATGCTTGCTGTTGATGTTGTTTTATTTTTTGTTATTTACTTTGCAGTACAGGCGACTGACAACAGTCATTGTTCCGTTTCCCCTGCTTCTGCTTTTGCTATTGCTACAGCTGCAGCTGGGCATGGGAGCCCACCAGGTGAGCCTTCTGGTACCAAAGTTTTTTTGGGGGTGGGGTTGAACTACTGAGCACTAGTAAGTGAACGCAGTCAGTATTTGCAATCGAATATTTGCAGGCTCCTCTGGAGGACTTTGGTCCAAAAGGCAGCATAAAACTAAGCTTAACTAACTGAGAAATACTATACCAATTCAGAAGTAAATCCCATTGAATTCAATGGGGCTTGCTGCTACATAACAAGATACAGGATTTCAGGCTAAATGATTGACAAATACTTCTTTGAAATATTCATCACTGTGCTGAATATGGTGAATGAATGGTGAATGAATGAATGAATCTATCAATCTTTATTTGCGTCAGATATCGGCCATAGCAATAAAACAACAATATGATATACAAAGAACAGAAATAAAAAGTCAGTTATATAAAATAACATTTTAGGGTTTTGAATCAGTAGTCAAATAGTGGATCTTATTCTAAAACCTTGCAACCTTTGCTGTCTACCTTCTCATCTTGATCTGCCAAGAGAAAGGACACTGTGGCAGTGACTGGGCAACCCAGAGTGGACAATAAAAGAGGGGTGATAACCTCATTCCTCAAGTCTTTATAAAGAGTGCAAGCCAGCAGGGCATGCGCCATCAATTTGGTATGGCCATCTCCACAGGGACATAAGTGTGGAATCTGTTGGAATCGTCCCTCAAGTACAGCCAAGGGCAATACATTCAATCTTGCGAGTGTAAAAATGCACCTGTATTTTAGAATTGCTAGGTTATGCAGATAGGGTGCCAGAGAGTCAAAATGGGTAGGTGGAAAATTGTCATACCATGGGCAAAATTTCCTTATTGTGGCCAAGTTGTTCTGACGCTCAATATCGTTTAGGCACTGACAAATTAGACTGTTTGCTTTACTAAAACCCAAAGTGAGTAGCTGTTGTAGTGATAAACCACAGGACTGAAGTTTTTGATAGACAGTTTTAGTCCAGGCGGTCTTGTGACAATCTTGCAGCATTAGGGATATTAGACCGGGGGGATTTAAGTTTAGGCGAAGCCAGTCGTTAAGTGTCCTATGCAAAATCTGCAATTCCATCGAGGGAAGATTAGCCTCTAGGCGCAATGATGCGTTTGGGACACAGGGTGGTACAGAGAAAATTTGCCTTAAGACCTTTGATTGGACAGCTTCCGTAGATCCAAGGTGAGTGCCTGTCCAAATCTGAGCCCCATACAATAACTGTGCTAGGGGTTTAGCTTGGAACACTGCCAGGGCTGGTGGTATATGTTTACCACCTTCTGTGTAGAAAAAGTGTGCCAGAATATTGGCGCTTTGGGATGCTTTTTCGTTGCACGTTTCTGGTGTGCGCCCCATGATCCTGTAGACTGGAATATAAGGCCAAGATATTTGAAAACTTTGACCTGTTCAATTCGCTGGTTGTCCATGCGTCATCTATGGGCCCTATAGTTTCTTGAGAAAACCATGACTGTGCTCATGGTGCCAGTCCTGTAGCCAGAAACTATGTGGTAAGCAGGCCAGGAATAAGTTGTAGAAGAGCCAGTCTGTAAAGGCAGGTCATCCAATACACTTACATCAGTTAAATTATTTCTTAGATAGCAATTCAGTAGAGACCAATTCAGTCTGCATGCTTTTCCTCGTATCGCCACATTGAAAGGACTAGAGACTTGCTTTTACAAATGAAAGCTGAAGGCTTAGAAAGGGTTCCTAGAATATCACTGGCAGGTTCAGCTGGCAGGGTGGTACGGGCAGGGCAGTGAGGCTCACCTCACTTTCCAGCACTGAGTATCTTTGCCAGTTATTGAGAGGGGCAGGGATGAGGAATGGGGAGCTCAGCACAGTGCAGGTGGGTTTCAGTCATCTGCCTTCAACCAAGTAACTGAATGATTTGCTCCAGCAGATTGCTGGTACGTGGTTGATTGTGTATTTCTTTTGCTCTTGTAGTGTTTACATTTTTACTGTTGTTTTTAATTTGTTTTGTTTTGTGTTGTTGCACACTGCTAAAAAAATGTTCTATTGCTACAACACTGGGAGAAGGATGAAACGCTTCAATCTGTAGTTTTGAAAGGTGAAAGCATCCTCTCATGTTTGCCATCTAGCACACCTTATTGGTGCACAATATGTGCTGTTTTTGCTAGAATGAAGCATGGCAGTGTTTTTCCGCTGTATTCCCCATTGATTAAAATATTGGGATTGGCATTTCCTTCCTAGTGTATTTCTACCTGAAATTTACATATTTATCATATTTCCTAAAGTTTGTCTTTAGACTGTTTGGGGTGTCAATAATAGGCAGAGAATTAACGTGCTTCAACCTGTCCTTGAATTTTATACTTGGGAACATTATTTCTTTTTTTCTTTCTTTTCAATATGCACGAATTCTGTGATCAATTTGAATAGACTTCTATTTTTGTTCCAGAACCAAGAGCTGTTTTGAATCTAGAGAACTGTTGCTTAGCAATTTTATCAACTGGTTAGGCAAATGCTATCCTTCAAACTGAGGGGAACTGCACCATGCAGCTTTTATTAATCAGCAAGCTTCTATTAAAATAGTAATTATTGGAGGAAGAGAAAGAAGACTGCGCCCTGTTAATAAATACATCTTCAACTGTAAGGGGAGGACCGAGGCCACTGGCCCCTCTATGGCAGGTCATGGGGTCCTTCCTGAATTAAGCTGCATGCTGCAATTTAATTAGTGCAGCCTGTAGTCAGAGAATAGAGCAAAAGAGAGGAAGACAGTGCATGGGCAGTGATGCTTTCGGCATGTGGTAGAAAGCTGCAAGAAACACCTAGTCTTGAGCTGTAAATTGGAACAAACAGCAATCCACAGAAAACCTAATTGCCGTTTGCTCCAATTAAGCGCTAAAGAGCAGTTTTCCCTGGGAGAAAGTAGTGCAACAAGAGGAAGTGTGGATAAGCCCAAAGTCACTGGTGAGGATCCTGAAAACTTTGCATGTTAGTATATTCACTGTATTCGCTGCCAAAATTACTAGGCTAAAATCTTGAAACTTGCTGATAGTCTTTTCTGCGGACATCCTTGGCCTGATTTTTTGTTTTACTGAAAGCACAGTTCATATTTCCTTTGACTTTCATATTTGCATGGGGGGGGGGGTTCACATCGCTGCCTTAGAGCACAATGAAGTTGGTTGTTTTTAAGGTACATTCTAGAGCTCTCTACACCCTAGCTGTTCACATCAGTATGGGGTCATCAGTGTCAGATTTGTTTCTGTCTTTACTCCTCTGCAATGGTGTTCACACATTACATAGATTTATATTTGCTGGGGCTTTTTCCTCCGTTCCTTTACTTTCTGAATCTGCCTAAAGCTTGGGTACACTAAATTGATGTTTTCAGTGTTCTTTCCACTACGATTCCAAGATCTGTTTCCTATGATAGTCACTATGAATATAGACACCATGAATGTCAATGTATCGTTGAACTGTTTTTTTCATAAAATGCATCCTTTTGCACTTAATTGAGATTGCTGTTGCTAATTAGCATAGCCCTGATATTATCACATTTAATACTTGCTACTCTCTTTATTTATAACATTTTCATGGTTTTTTTTGCAAAAAGCACAATAACATCATTCTGTCTTTACAGTAAAATGGTTCTTTAGATGGCTGTTAATCATAGGATTGCAAAATCTCCGCTGCCTAAATGTCGGGAGAGTCCACTTGGGAAACCCCACCATTCAACCTGTGCATTATGTAATATGATATATAACAAGCAGAACAGGTGGCCAACTAGTGAAAAGATTTCTAAAAAACAGATAGCTGCAGGTGACTAACCACAGCAAGTCAAACTGTGCTGCAAAGGAAACCAAAAATTATGCACAGCATTTAGTCTATTTTGCAGAATCATTATTTTCCAATCCCAAATAATTAGTCAGACCATGAACAAGCAAAAAATGCATTTAGTAAATGTTCCAAAGAAAAATAAATAATAATTGCAAATGACACAAAAATGAGCAAGGAAAAAGATAATTGAATCTGCCGAACAGACAATGATAAATACAAAAACAATGGGGCTATTAAGTATGATAAACCTTACTGCCGAATAATGAGGGTAACTAAGTATAAGTGGGGCTGACAATGTTTAGCTAAGGACAATTAACAAATATATTGAATTAATTAGTGAGAGGCAGCCTCATACTTCAAAGAGGGAGATAAATATGCAGAAGCTTCCAAGACCATTTGTTCCGTGCAGTCAAACACTGTGCATAGAAAGAAAAGGGAAGGTTGCGACAAAACAGGGAGCTATTCATGGTCAGTCAAATGACACTGCGTGTCATGTAGAGGAGCCAGTATTTGTTCAAATTTGTGCATCTAATAAAGTGCATGTGCTGATACAATAAAGACTTGACTCAGGTTATATTAGGTTAGCCAACAAAGGCAGTTAGAGAAGGTCTGCCAAAGACAAATATCTCTGGTATAGGTATTTGTCGTCAAACAGTTATGAGATGGTCAGCTTCTTACTTTTGGACATACCTTATGTATTATGGGAATTGTTCGCTTTGAGCCAAAAAATGTAAAATAATCGGATAAGTTCCAGAACAAATTGCAGTGCATAGTCATCTCCTTAATAGGCCAGTAAGTGCTGATATTACACATTTATTTTAAGGGTTAAGTCACAGTAGAATACTGAATCATACCAAAGGTCCACTATCATCCTAGTTCCCGCAGCAACCAATCAGATATCTCTAGGAGATCTTCACTAGGGTTTGATAGCCCTTCACTGCAGTTGTACCTCCCAAGTATTTACTGGCAAATCACCTCTGAACACGGGCGTTTTGTTTAGCTATCATTGTTAATATCTGTGGATACACACTGATTCTTCGTGCAATTCTCTAATCCTGTTTTAAAACCATCTAAGATCCCTGCGACAGGGTGAGCTCCCTTTGTTTGGTCCCTGCTCCTGCCAACCTAGCAGTTTGAAAGCACGTCAAAGTGCAAGTAGATAAATAGGTACCACTCCAGCGGGAAGGTAAACAGCGTTTCCGTGCACTGCTCTAGTTCCATGCACTGCTCTAGTTCCGGCCACATGACCCGGAAGCTGCGGACAAAACTGGCTCCCTCGGCCAGTAAAGCAAGATGAGCACTGCAACCCCAGAGTTGTCCGCGACTGGACCTAACGGTCAGGGGTCCCTTTACCTTTAAGATCATGTCCATTGCCATACCTTGTGGCAGTGAATTCCATGCATTAATTAAAATAGCACAAGTATTGCTGCTCATATACCTTGTAAACTCAGCGAAAAACAGTACCTTCCATTTGCAGTCTCCCCCCCCCCTGAAATTTATATTTTAGATTTGAAGAAGTGTCTATGATACTCAGGACTACATAAGAAAGGACAGAACAGGTTCAGGCATTCATTTTATGTATTTATAAATGTATGAATTTTCTCCCTATTAGGACTTTTTGAGATAGATAGATAGATAGATAGATAGATAGATCGATAGATAGATACACACACACACACACACACACACAGAGAGAGAGAGAGAGAGAGAGAGAGAGAGAGAGAGAGATACACATCTCATATAATATAAATATGTAAGCAAAATCTTCAAAATCCTTTAAATGTGTTATTTTCAAAAGATATGCTCTGAGCCAATGGGCTATGTGTTGGGGGGGGATTATTCCCATAGATTTTCCTTTTCATCTAGCAGCATTTATTTCATCTTGAACTTTCCTTTTAAATTGTGTAGGGTTTAATAACTCTGAACGAACATGCGATAAGGAGTTCATAATACGTCGAGCAGCCACTAATCGTGTCCTGAATGTCCTTCGCCACTGGGTCTCAAAGCATTCTCAGGTACTTTTTGTTACATTTTTCCAGCAAAATCTCCATTGTATCAAAGAGTTTGTGTGTACACACAAAAACACATCATTAGTGTGGAATTACCAATTTGGGCTCTGTGTTAAGCATCACAATTGTCATATTAAAAATTTAGGTTTGCAGTGCAGCCTCATTAGAATAGTTCTTCTGTATATTGCTGTGGTGTAATTACAAGGGGACAAGGTTTGCTTTTCTCATTACAGTTGTGTTTTACTCAAACGAATGCATTGTTGGGAATAAGCTAATAAAGGTTGGTTTGTTGATCAGTTCTGAGATAGGCACAGAGTTGCCAAAAATCTAGCGCTGGGGACTCAGCTACATTAGGTTTGTTTAAGTTATAAACACATTATAACACTGTGACAGCAGATGGTGCTGTAGAGCTGAAATTGGAACTGAATGAAATTTTCCATTGTGAGCTTTACAACGGTTTTTTCCGGATCATTTTCAGAGTGGTTTTTTAAAAATAGGTGTTTAGATGCAGCCTGGATCAGCAAAATATGCCTCCGTTATGATTAGCTATTGAAATTTAATCATGAGTCATGGCTCTGTGTTGTTCTCCTATTACTTGGGCTTGCCCTCTTTCAGAGAACAGCATAGTTACTCATGGGTGATTTAAGCATTTCTTTACTGCATGTGGAAAGCAATGCTTCCTTGTTGCATTACATAACAGAGAGTAACATTTTCATTAGGCTAACTGTAGAAATCATGGAACACCGCCATATCAGTGCCTCTTTCTGGCTGTGGCCGGAACGGGTATAAAATTGCTCTACCTCATTAGGTGCAGTGGATCCCATGCAAACCCATCACGCTCTGTAAAATGTCACATTGAATGTTGTTTGTTTGTTTGTTTGTTTGGTGGCTTCTATGCTAACAAAAGAAGAGTCCTGCTGGATGAAACCAAAGCATCCTGTTTCCTGTTTAGTACAACATACAATGGCTAAACAAATGCCCATGGGAAGCTCACAAGCAGGGTATGAGCTCACTCCTGCTGTTGTTCCCCAGCAGCTGGTATTCAGAGGCAGGCTACCTCTGAACCTGGAGGTAGTATATAGCCATCATGACTGATAGTCTTATTCTCCATGTTGGATGCGTAACATTTGATTTAACACCAGGACCCTCTGTGCATCAAGCTTATCACTGCAAATACCGTATTTTCCTGTGTATAACCCCCCCCCATGTATAAGATGCCCCCTATTTTGGGGGACTCCAAACTGAGAAAATGGGGGGAGATTGTATCCATGTATAAGGCGACTCACAATTTTGAACATAATTTTTAAACCTAGTCTTCTACACGGAAAAGCACGGTAAATACATTACTTCAAATTAAGTCTCCAGTGCTAGGCTCTAGAGGAATCTTGACTCTACAATATAATCTAAGTCCTTTAAGCGAAGTTCCCATTGTTCAGGGATCGGGAACTTTCCACGATACCATTTAATTCATAGAATAAATTTGTGGAGGCATACTTGTGGCAGAGTTTCATTATATGGGAAGCTGTTCAGGATCTGTTTAGCACCTACTAATCTGAAGCTGTGTATGAAGAAATAAAATAAATACAGTATAATGAACCCAATGCCATCGCATCTACAAATGAAGAGACTGTGTTCATAAAATATGTTGGTGTCTTCATAAAATATGTTGCTGGCTTTTTAATAATGTATTCTGTTCATACCTTCTCTGTATGCTGAGTATGTTATGGATCATGTCAGAAAAAGTAAGGTTGTTAAAAATGCAAAACATTTCCAAGCAAGTGTACAAAGTATTACAACTTGCAGGATCTAGCCACTTCAACATTGGCATGAGCAAGAGACCCAAAGTGGACCAGATGTATTAGAGAATTACAACATGGTTATTTAGTGACTTCCACATTTTTCTCCAAGCTGTACATAAGTTTATATGGTCTTGGGTTGGATCCTTAGTCTAAGACTGGGGGTGGGTGGGGGTGCCACCCCCAAAAGTGAGATAAAACTCAGAGTACTATGGTAAAGAGGTTCTAGGGTGTAGGGTTCTGTCTGAAAGCCCAGACGGGGGTTGACAGAACATAGAACATCCCTGAATGGCATCCTGGTGGGATTTCCTCATTAGATTTGCGTCAATGGGTGGTACCCATTCACCAGGATCAACCCTGATGGAGATAACAGCCACCAGTCAGGTTGACTGGTTCAGGATACATACCCGATGCGTATGCCAAATTCTGACTTTGATAGAATCATAGAGTTGGAAAGGATCATCTTGTCCAACCTGAATATGCAGTTGTCCCATACAGGGATAGATTCTGCAACCTTGGCATTATCAGTACCACGCTTTAACCAACTGAACTATCCTTAGAATTGTCTATAATCGATGAAATTGTGGCCATTTTGATCCCAAGCTGGTGTCATGTTTTTCTTACTGCATACGCACTGTTAATCCCCTCCCTCGGTAACCACTGACTTGCTGCGCTGTGGCCTGCGAACATGACACCCACACAGTATGAATTAGACAGTTATAAGGAGTTTTTGGGGCCACATATGATCTCCATGCTTTTAGTTCCAATTATAGCAATCGCCAAAAAACTTTCTAATTGGTTGGTCTTGGTACAATTAAATGATGAATTCGCACCTAAATGGTCATGTACAAGACAAAGCAAAACTGATACGTCTGCTTTTTGCATTGTTCCAGCAAAAAAAGTTGCAGAAGTTTAAAGCTTTGATCTTCTGCAACACTTCAGGGAACATGAGTCGCCCTCACTGTATTAACATGGTACCCCTTATAAAATATTCAATCAGTATATACATACAATCAGTCAAACTAATTAGAAGTGCACTGCGGTTGCCTCTGCTTCAGTATGACGGATTCTTCATTAAGCAACTGGGGGTTTTTTTTTGGTGATGACGGTAAACATTCTAACATGCTGGAATTAGTGTCCTTTTTTTTTGGTAAGCAATAGCAAAAACGGTTAGCTGAGAATCCCAGTTGAATAGATTGCTCGTTCAGAGTTACTGTACACGTTACCAGTTTATGAAATGCCCAAACAGTAAAAGCTCTTTGAGAATTATGAAGTTGATTCACTAGTACAAGTTGTACATTTAAACTAATTATATCCAATCGGGTTTGACAGACAAAAACTGCTGTTACAGGAACAAAACTGGCAGGCTTCACAAATGCTGATACCTACTTTTTGCTCAGAAATAAGTGGAGTGGAGAGGAGACTTTTGCAGCACCAGCCAAGGACAGCTCTATTCCCATGTATTTCAGTTCAGGCCACATTGAACGGAATTAATTGATACAAGTTGATTAGGATTCACTTAGAATTTATTTCTAAGGTAGAATAATAGATTTGTCAATTGTACTTTTAGAATCATGTGATAAAAGAACCTGAAAGGTACCTTAAATTAGAAAACGTATCTCTACTACAATGCCCCCACCCTCCTCGTGTGTGTGTGTGTGTGTGTGTGATTTAAAAAAAAATAGTTTTCAACAATATATAAACAAAACAAGAAGTTTCTCCCAACCCCACCTTCCATCTGCCATAACAGAAGATTAATGTATAAGATTTTTCCATAAGTCCATGGGTGAAGTCGGTGGAGGCCGGTCATCAGGGTGTTCACTTGAATATTTTATAAGGGGTACCAAACTTCAATAAAACCATCCACCTCAGATATATTGTTCAAGGCATGTTAGTTTTTGTTAGTTTCTCAGATAAGGCAATTGTCCATATGTTTGTCTCCATTGCGCAATGTGTAGATGTTCAAGTCCTTTCCAATTCTGTGCTATAAGTAGTTGTGTTGCTATCGGGAGGAAATAATAAGTATATTAAAGTAAGTTGGTCTTTCTTAAAAATTGTTACTAAACCCAGACTTGGATTACACTATACATTCTGTTTTGTAATATTACTTCAGCGAATAGTTTTACTGAATAGTTCCCAGAATAGTTGTACTGGTTCACATGTCCACCACATACAGATTATTGTGCCATTTGCCCTGTATCCTCTCCAGCATGCTAGTGAAGATGTTATGCAAACGTAACTCTGTCTTAAGGGTGTTAGATGCCATCTATAAATTAGCTTAAATTAGTTTTCTGTTATGCAGGTCGATACTGATTTTAAAGGAATTTTTGTCTGTTTTCCAAAGTAGCAGAACTTTGCCCCAATGGCAATATCATGGGATATTTTATACAATATTGACAGAATTATATAGAATGTTCAGTCGTATTTAGAATTAATTTTTCAAAAGGAGTCAGTGACTTGAGTGCTTTGAATTTAACTGCTGGGTTTGAAAAAAAAGTATAATTTAATGTATAAGTAGTCAATTCACATTGCAACCTCCATGTTTTCCATGATTTGCTCTGCTGTGAGAGTTATCGTTTTCATAGAGACTAACCAATCTGTATAAGCCTTTGGCTTTCCATTTTACATCATATTTGCTGCCTTGGCGCAGCCATGGCCTGATAGCGGGGGCCATTTTTTCTTGCCCGCACAGCTATTGGGGTGCCTCCCCTGCTGATTTGGCTTTGGCCTGCTTGAACAAGCAATCAGGGTGCCAGCAGGGCAGGGTAGGTGGTGACCTGGCTTCAACTTGGTCCACCCCCATCATATAAAAGGAGGGCCGCACCTGGGCCCTCACTCTTTGGAGATCATTGTGGGATTCACCGCCCAGCCAGTCTGTTTGTGTCTTGTCCAAAGGTGAGTGGGCAGGTCAGTGAGGGGACCTTGTTATGGTATAGCCGGTCACTGTATTTGGGGCCAGGGAGGATTTTTTCCTGCAGACAAATTGGCTGTTCTGCAGGTTTTTGCCTACCTCTTATCAGAAGTCACAACTTTTGGTGGGTAAGGCATTGGGTTGGATCCTTAGCTGATCGAGCATCCCATTAACGGGATCCAGGAGGGATGCCTCTGTCCACACAGGGGCTGATGAGCTACAGCACCCTTCCAATGATGGCACAGCTGGGATCATATCACCTGGTGCATGTCAGGGGCGACCCTGCTTGATGCCCAAAGCCTTGGCCAAAACCTCCTTACATCTGTAATTAATAAAGTTGTGGCTGATTTCAACCCAATAGAAATGTCCTATGTTTTATTTCTATGGTTGGCCTTTCTGCGCTGCAGGCATCATGTGCCTGGGCATGCAATTCCACTGGTTTTGGAAAGACATGAAACTTCCCCATGGATGATGTCCAAGTGACTTTTCTTATGTGTCCAGTTATAATCACCAGGTATATATTGTCAATAAGTTTATATAACTGTTGTTATTTCGAATGTTTAATTCTTCATAGATTTTTCCTTCCATTCTCTAAAAAGCTGGAGCATGTGTGTATGTGTGTTACAGTTATCTCAACATACAGTAGGTTTCCATGGTGATACATTGGTTGTCTCATACTGTTCAAAGTGGGCCCTGGTGTGGGCTAATAAATATGGGAGTTTAGCACCCAGAGAGCACAGTGCTCCTACAATTCTCCTGGCAGAGCTTCTCAAAGGTGTTTTGCATTTCTCGCCTCTTCAAGGCACAGTAACAAGCTGTAATGTGCATACTTTTTCTATATGTACGAGGCAGAGTTGTTAGTTATGCCTCAAAGCAGTATTTCTTCTTATCCTCCTCCTCCTCTCTTTCACATTAAAGTTAAAGGACCCTATCACAAGCCAGCCTGAAAACAGTTATGTGGCAAATGAAATGCTTAAGAGGTCTAAAGCAATATGGAGTGTTAATTGGCCCTATGTATATCATATACGGGGACGCAGGTGGCACTGGGGTTAAACCACAGAGCCTAGGACTTGCCGATCAGAAGGTCGGTGGTTCGAATCCCCGTGACGGGTTGAGCCATCTAAGATGCCCGCGACAGGGTGAGCTCCCGTTTCTCGGTCCCTGCTCCTGCCAACCTAGCAATTTAAAAGCATGTCAAAGTGCAAGTAGATAAATAGGTACCGCTCCGGCGGGAAGGTAAATGGCATTTCCGTGCACTGCTCTGGTTCGCCAGAAGCGGCTTAGTCATGCTGGCCACATGACCCAGAAGCTGCACACTGGCTCCCTTGGCCAATAAAGCAAGATAAGCACCACAACCCCAGAGTTGGCCACGACTGGATCTAATGGTTAGGGGTCCCTTTACCTTTTTACATCATATACGTATGCATATTGTTACAGGCTTGCTGTGTGAGTTCATGGCTGCATTATTCTGTTTTCCAGACCTTTTCTTACCTGTGAATGTTTGCATTTTATGTGATCTTTCACACACATAAAAGCCACTTCTAGAAATCTAGTGGAAGTTTAGTGCTAATTTCCATGTTAGTTGTGTCCAGGAAAAGAATCCGCTTGCAACATGGAAAATCATGGGGTTTTGCATTGTAATTTTCCTGCCATTTTCATAATCGTGCCAATTCCACTCTACATGATGAAATTTGGGTTAGCCTCCTAGCATACAGTTCTTTCCCGCCATTTTAAAAGTTAGCATGATATGGCAGTAGGTGGCTCAAAAAGCCACAATTCCATAATGTAACAGGTACTGCGGTATAAAAGGACTGTGCAAAATCAGGACAGAACCGCTAGCATTATATTCAGGAAAATGTAATGCAGTAAACCCTTGCGTGTCGGAATGCAGACTGTTCTAAACCTTTTTTATAGTCCTCATTCTTGTTTCCTAGGTAAATTGGATTTCACTCATGGCCAAAGTACACATGATGCTCAATCATGTGGAGTTTGTCCTGGTCTTCCCTTCCACCCCCCCCCCAAAGTCACTACAAAGGTTGCCAAGTAAAGCAGAAGGCTAACCCAGAGGGCAAGGATGGGAGTTTCTTAACCCTTCCCCATCATGCTGCTTTACTCTTAAAATCTCATGCCACTGCTTTTTTTCTTTTTACCTGACAAGTAAAATGATACACGTATCGGAGAAGGCTGGTCTTAAGCTTCCTGGCTTTTCCTTTATTCTTTGCTTGTTTTATTTATTTATTTATTTATATAGAACATGTATTATTCTCTCCCCCCCCCCCTTTATCACTGAGCCCTAAAAGGCCTCGGTCCTGTATACCTGAAGAAGCGTCCCCACCCCCATCGTTCAGCCCGGACACTGAGGTCCAGCGCCAAGGGCCTTCTGGCGGTTCCCTCCCTGTGAGAAGTGAGGTTACAGGGAACCAGGCAGAGGGCCTTCCCGGTTGTGGCACCCGCCCTGTGGAATGCCCTCCCATCAGATGTCAAGGAAATAAGCAACTATCCTATTTTTAAAAGACATCTGAAGGCAGCCCTGTTTAGGGAAGTTTTTAATGTTTAATGCTGTATTGTGTTTTTAATATTCAATTGGGAGCTGCCCAGAGTGGCTGGGGAAACCCAGCCAGATGGGCGGGGTATAAATAATAAATTATTATTATTATTCGCAACAACCCAGTGAGGTAGATTAAGCTAAGAGATGTTAACAGGCCCAAAAGTTGCCAGTGGCTTTGTGAGGTGAGTGGAGATGTGAATCTTGATGGTCTTGGTGCTAGTCCAGCAATCCACTCCACTCCACTGGCTGTCCCAGTGAAAACTACAAAACATAAGTTGGAATTAGGCAAGGCGTAGTTTGGGCTAGGGGGAGAATATTTGATTCTGCAGAATATGGCTTTGTGAGCAGGTGTCCTGCTGCAAGCAGGCTTCAGGATTGAGGAGATTCAGAAGGGACTGCATCCAGCATTCATGCAAGAGCTGCTGCATCAGGATGTTACAGGATGTTGATGTTGTTCATTAAAATAATAGTAACTGATGTATCTTTGTATGTAAAAATGATCTAGTATAGTGCAGACTTAAACGTGGTCACTCAGAAGTAAACACCATTGAATTTAATGGGACTTACTCCCAGGTAAGCATAGAATTTCATACTAAACTACTAATGAAAAGTTCATGGTTTGAAACTTGCCTAGGCAAGCCACAGTTTTTCTGTCTGAAAAATAGGGGATAATGCAACGGTCTTAGCATACCAAGATTGTTGAAAGGAATGGATAATGCCCGTGAAACACTATACAAACATTAAGTATTACATACTTTTCCTATGCTGTTTTATAATTCATCTATTCAAATATGCATGTATCTCTCATGGCTGTTTTACCGTTAATACTGGAAAACGAGTAAGGAGTATTCCTTTGGTTTCAAACGTTAGTTGTTGGTTTTTTTTTTAAAAAAAAAACAACTTAAAAGATTGTATGCGTTATAAAAGGGGGTCAGAGACTTGAAAAGAGAAATGAAAAGAAATTATTGTCAATAAATGTGCAGAAGAAGGCTGCTATAGAGAAACTGCACACAAACAATAACCTGCTGCAAAGGAAGTGAAAAGCTTTTTAGCTGCATAGCAACAACTTAACATTCACTCTGCATGCTGGATATTTCTCTGGTTTGGTTACAGATTAAGCAGATTCTGCCTGGAAATAAAACACCTGTGTTGCTATGAGAGGAACATAATGTTTGACAAAGCATCACCGGGCAAATATATTATTTATTATGATTTATTTATGATTTAACCATGAGCAATGTATCTGAAAATACAAATAGATGAGTGAACTTCACATATTTCTTGAGTGTTCTAGAGTAGTTTCAGTGATGGTGATGATGAAGGAGAAGAAGGAATGTTGGAATACTTCTCATCATTCTCTCAGTAATGGAAAAGCAGTGGCCGTAGATAGACAAAGTTTCAGCTAATTTCTATACAGCAAGACTTTTACCAACAGGCTTTGCTCATAGGATAACCAAATCAAACATTTGTTTGGTAAGTCCTTGCAGAAGTCACTAGACACCGAAGCTAAAATATTTAGAAATATGTATAGGGTAATAGCATATATCTTTCCTAATCACGCATTCAAAATAAAATGTACAAGAATTTCAAGAACTTTGCTAGTGACTATTGTCTGGGTTTCTATGGAAACAGATGCTGAATTGCTACCCACATGGTAGCAAACAATCACTATAAAAGAAACCGTTACAAATATACTGGATTGATGAAGCTTTTAGTTTAAATCCTTTATCCAAACATCTGCACTAAGCTGAAATGCAAATGACTGGAGTTAGTGTTTCTCAATGACTCCAAACATGAAGATATTTCAGTACATGCATTTTCTTGAACCCATCCCCCACCCTCCCAGTGTCTAATCCTTGGAAATATTCCTCATTGTTCTGGAGAGGGATGCACAAGTATTAACTAAGAGAAAAAGTCAGATTTATTCTCAGAACTGATGTATGTTATCCGTCTAGGTTTGAGGAGGAGATACTATATGTTGCTTTTAAGCATAAGACATTGCTTGGGGAATCCATAGTACAAAATACTGCAGCTTGCAGTTGGCCTAGCCAAATATCACCTATTTTGAAAATCTTCACTAACTAAAATTTAATTTCTGAGCTGAGAAAAGTGCTGATTTCTGCCTTGGAAGTCCTAAAATTAATTATTTTTCTGTTGAGATTTGTGTACCACCCTTCATGAAAAATATTAACTAGTCAGTTTACAAAAACAATGTACTATAAAAACATAATACGGGGTATGTTTTAATGTTAGTTTAATGTTACATAATTAACTTCATAAAAATGACTTAAACCATCAGCTTCTAGATATATTGTATATGTTACCTTAAATGAACTTGATCTTGGATAAGAATAGGTAGGTCAAAGTAATGTTGGTTTAGGTATTGCTGTCTTGTAATTCAAAACTCTTGAAACAGATACATTTTAATAACTTCTTGGTTTTGTTCTTTTCAGAACCTTTGGTACAAGGTTCAAATGCTTATTCAAAACAACAGAATTGTGAAAAACAAATGCTGAACAAAAACCCATATGTAGTATGATTACTTCATTCAGAAAAAAATTCTTTTGCAGGATTTTGAGCTAAACAATGAACTGAAGATGAATGTTCTAAATCTGCTAGAAGAAGTTTTGAGAGATCCTGACCTTTTGCCACAAGAAAGAAAAGCTACAGCAAACATCTTGAGGTAAAGCAGTTGAATTAGTTTAATCATGAAGTATTGTTAGGCATTTGTGGGTGCCAGACTGCTCTAAATTCCTGGGTCTAGTAGATATTAGAGTTTAATCAAGGCTTGGGGGTTAAACTGGACGCCAGAGTTCTAATCACTGGACCCAATTTCCTGTGTTCAGGAGACTGGGGTGGCATTCAACAATATTGTAAGAAATGAAGAAATTGTATTCTACATTATCCACACAGCGCTTATTTTCAAGGAATCACAAAAAGAATCACAATGCAGTCACCTTTGCAATAAAAATGTGCTCATTTCTTTCAAGAGTTAAAAATTAAATCTGTTTTTCTCCTAAGGGTAGGAGATTTTGCCAAAATACAGGCTTATTATCCACTGATTCTCTGTGATAAAACTTTTCCAGAGTTTGTTTCAAAAGTACAAAATATCCTTGTTACTGAAATGTCACTAGCCACAGAGATACACATTTTTATATGAAATATTCTGGACCTATTTTAGAGCACTCTCTCAGGAGGATCAAGATGACACCCATTTAAAAATTGAGGATATAATGCAGATGGTGAGTTAATCTACATAAGCTTATGTCAGATTTATTCATATTTATGTAAATTGGGGTAAATGAAATCACTAGAAATGGTGTTTGGCTGCTTGCTTGTTGCAGCTTTTATAGCAAATTAATTACCGTCCCTTTTGTATTTGCCCTTGACCACTCCCTGTTCTAATCGTTCAACCACATTTGTTTGAAACAGGTGAAAGTATAGCTGTTAGCTGTTCACAGGCTTTGTTGGAAGTTATGCAAAACACAGGCCTTCCATTTGAATATATACAGTGGAGGTCTTTTAGAATGGGACACATCTGCGAATGGGCCTCTTAGCTCATTATGCAAATTATTGGAAATTGCAGTGTCTATTTGCAAGTTAAAGCACAAACAAGAGTGTATTAGGGGAAAAAAGACTTTATGTGCTGCCACATACCACAGAAAGATTATTTACATGAGGGAAGCATGAAATGAATTTGAATTTGAACCACAGAATAGCTTGGGAAAACAGATAGCTTTGCGGTTATAGTACTTGCTAATCAAGGTGCAAATTGTGTGTTGCAACAGTGACAGCAAACTTAATTCAGTGTTCAAAGCTTACTGGTTTTGCCCTAGGTGTGTGGATACTAAATTTATCCACCCACATTATGCACCCATGCTTTTAAGTGGGCTTTGCTCTACTCGTTATTTTGCAAGCCCTGTACAATTATAAGTCCCTTATACCTTACTCTTTGCATCTGAATATTTTAGTCTTTGTTAATTCACCAATGCTATGAAGGCACAATAAAGAATCCAAATGACACAGCCCCATCACAAATGGCTTGTTCATATGGTTTACATTTTGAAGAAGAAAACATATTAATGGATAACCAATGTAGGGAAAGAGAAAGAGAAATGTTAAGGGTTCTCCAAGAAGAGTTTACAAGAACCATGGGCCCTCTTTGCCCAGATGGATGACATAGAGAGGGACCTTGCTTCTCCTCCTCAATCAATATACCTCTTTTGATATCATCAGCAGTAGTATTCTCCTGGCCCAACTCTGTGGGCATGGGTATTGGGGCAGCATTTTTCTGTAGGTACATTGCATGTCAAGGCCCCCAAGCCACCCCAAAGAGAATAAAAACACAAGGACACAGAATTCTAGGTTCATGTTAACGGGCAAAATTTAGGCCACAACTTTATTGGTTACAGAATGTGAACGGTATTGGCTCAGGCATTGGCATCAACAGACTATAGGTCTCCCGCCTTGCAGGAAGATTGGTAAGGGTAAATTCCAAATGTTCTTGAAGTGTGGGAGTTCTTAATTTTTGCTGAATTGCACCTGAAGTTTCTATTCCTCTTCCATAGTAGAGAACTCTGTTCTGTTAGTACCTTTCCTCTTAGGTTGTTTCGATAAATGAAGAACTGGGCAGTGAAATTGACACTGCCATCAGTTACCTAATGGGGCATGAAACAAACTAGAAGGATTGAAATGGCTGTTTTTGTGTGCTTCCTTGTTTACAGTTAGAGTGTCCAAAACCAGAGTGCTTTGAAACTTTATCGGCTATGGAACTCGCTGAACAAATCACTCTCTTAGATCACATTGTTTTCAGGAGCATACCCTATGAGTAAGTGGCTTTCTGATCGTTATTATCAAGTGAAAATATTTTGTAAGTGAAGTTACAAACTGATTCACATTAGTGACAGGCCTATAAAAAGAATTTGAATGCATAACAGATAGAGCTGTGTTTAGTGCTGCTTAAAAACTATCATAGCATAATAAATGGACTATGAAAGACTTTAATCAAAGTGTTCATTAGCAGCACATGTCTATTGCACTTCTTTGTGAGCAGAATGCAGTTCACTTCCTGAATAGACTTACACACACACACACACACACACACTGTAGGCTTGAGAACAAGAGCAGTGAATATTGAGCTTATCAAATACATACCCTTTCAGCTTCCTAAATTAGCCATCTCCTTTTAACCCAAGGGATGGTGCTTTAAAATGAAAAGGGGCTTTTAAAAATCCTATACATCTCTGGTTATTTAGCAGTGTGGGATAAAAATTGTATACAGTGGTACCTCGGGTTAAGTACTTAATTCATTCCGGAGGTCCGTTCTTAACCTGAAACTGTTCTTAACCTGAAGCACCACTTTAGCTAATGGGGCCTCCCGCTGCAGCTGCGCCACCAGAGCATGATTTCTGTTCTCATCCTGAAGCAAAGTTCTTAACCTGAAGCACTATTTCTGGGTTAGTGGAGTCTGTAACCTGAAGCGTATTTAACCTAAGGTACCACTGTATATGACAAACAATATGACTCACACCTTTTTCCATGTGTATATTTATTGAATGTTGTAACTCGCCCTGGGACCTTGAGTGAAGGGTAATAAATTAAAACAACGCCACGGCCAAAAGCAACAACTTTGGGGATGCCATAGAGAATGCCTCCTCTTGGTCACCCCCCAAAAAAAGAACTTCTGAGGGACTGGAACTACCAAGAAAGCCCCCTGTGCTGATGTTAGCACTTGAGAGGGTCAGTGGGGGGTGGGGGTGGGCAGGTCTTTCAGGTATGGTAACACACTCCAGTGGGTCCCATCTGCATTAAACACAATAAAACCAAGTACAACACACTGAGGTCCTTGGAGGAAGCGTAAGATAATTTTTTTAAAAAATGGTTTATAAGTTAATAATATAATTAAATACAATTAACAATATTCTGGTCTGCCATTTCTGATGACAGTTTCTTCTTTTGTTCTCTTCTTTCTGATTTTTCCAGAGAGTTCCTTGGACAGGGTTGGATGAAACTGGATAAAAATGAAAGAACACCGTATATAATGAAAACCAGTCAACACTTTAATGATGTAAGTTGATGTAAATGCTTTACCTTCCAGACTCTTCATGACTAACTATAGAAAAAACCACCAGAGCATTCCATTTTCCTAACCTGCTAGCCAGCAATTGCATAGTTGCAGTTGACTGAAATCTTCAAACACTAGCAGAAGAAATTAAACTATACCCTTGTTTAATAAAAACAAAATAATACCAATCTTGTTTCACATTCCTTAGTTTATTGATTTCTGCTTAGATTACATCCCTTGATTCACAACTGAGAGCCCACTCACTGCCAAGGGCAACTTGCTGTAAGGTGAAGATTGTTCTGCCTTTGCCATCTTCCTTAATTCACTTTTTCTTGTGCCATTGCCATTTATGCAATATATGCTTTCTTAGTTGTTAAATGCTAAAAAAAACCCCATCATTGTAATTCCATTTATACTGTTAATAGCATGCTGTAAATAGAAATATTCTAAGAACTGCTTCTTTGACCTAGATGAGCAACCTTGTGGCTTCCCAAATTATGAATTATGCTGACGTTGGTTCACGTGCTAATGCAATTGAGAAATGGGTAGCGGTGGCAGACATCTGCCGATGTTTGCACAACTATAATGGTGTGCTTGAAATCACATCAGCCTTGAACAGAAGTGCAATCTACAGACTGAAGAAAACCTGGGCTAAGGTTTCTAAACAGGCGAGTAATCACAAAATGTGTTATCTGTGTAATGGGTATTGTCACTAGAAATATTATAAGTAAATGGTTTGCAGTGGTTCAGAATGATGTAACCACATCACTAGAAAATCAGTACTTTAACCATCAAGAACAGGACCAACCTTATCATGGGGCCACAGGGAGCATTACATTCTCATAATCCAGCACTAGAACCCCACAGTGTTTGTCTTGCATTTGAACGCGTTTCAGCAGAATTTTCTTAACCTGAGTAGTATCATATTCCATTTTGCTATAAGGAGTGAATCTTCTAATTTGTTTTCTTTGTAGGCTAAAGCCCTTATGGATAAACTTCAGAAGACTGTATCATCTGAGGGAAGATTTAAGAATCTCAGAGAAACACTCAAGAAGTATGTTTCAAATTATTACATTTTGCTGTGAATAGTGGATAGTTATTAAGATAATACTTCAGCTAGCTATCTTCTATGGGAGTAAAACTGAACAATTAAGAAATCATCTTTTTAATACAGGCTTCATGGAATTCAATTCCAATGTTTTGTTGAACATACTCCAAAGTCATTATCATGTATAGATTTTTATAGTATCTCTGGGTAGTGCCAGAGCATATAAACCTATTATTCTGTATATAATGTGTCCTAATAGAATTGTAGAAACTTTTCCAATAAATGTATGGCCACATTAATTTAAAAAAACTGCTGGGAATATCCAACAACCTGGATAGCCAACCTGGTGCCCTCCATATGTTGTTGGACCACAGGTCTCATCCTCCCTGACCATTGGTCATGCTGGCTAGAGCTGATGGGAGTTTCAGTCCAACAATATCTGAGGGGTCGTGTGGGCTGTCCCTGAGCTATATAATATCTCCATAGCTCTGAGATTCATATGAAGAGTTCAAAGAAGGGTAGCTTCTATGCAATTATTTGGTAGTGATGATTTTGGGGAACAATCTACTAGCACTTCTGTCATGCTATCTCCATTCACTTTTATGGAGTTTCCCTTGCAGCCCCACTATAAAGTGAGTGGATGTTGGGCTGAGCAATACTTGACAATTTATGCAAGTGCTAACATGCTTGTTGAATACATAGAGTTGATTCTGAGTAAGCTGAACTGAGAGTTGACCCATTGAAATAAATAGACCTAAATTACTTATATTCATTAATTTCAATGGGTCTATTCTGAGCAAGACTAGCAATAATCAGCAGAGTTCACAACAGACTTACCTCTGAATCGAAATGTTATAGGACTGTGCTGTAAGTCCCAGTGTTGAATGGGGCTTACTCCAAGGTAGATGTATGTATCTGTATTTTTCGCTCCATAGGACACACTTTTTCCCCTCTTAAAAACTAAGGGGGAAAGTCTGTGCGTCCTATGGAGCGAATGCAGGGGGGAGGCAGGCAGGAAAAGCCCCCAGGAAAAGCTTCACACGTGTCTTGCGGGGACCGCCGCTCCCCAACCTGTTCTGGGGGCTGGAGTCGGGGGCAGCTCGGGCTTCCCCCGCCCCCAGCCCCACAAGCTCTGGGAGTGGAGGCAAGGCTACCTGAACCCCCCTGAGCGCAGCGGGAGTTCTCGCTGCACTCAGAAGGCTTGCGGATAGCCGCCTGAAGCCTGGAGAGCGGGAGGGGTCGGTGCACACCGATCCCTCTTGCTCTCCAGGCTTCGCTTTGCTGGAGAGGCTGCATAGTTTTCCCTCTCTGCGCAGCACCCCTTCAGCGAAGCAGGAGGAGAAATGGAAGGGGCTCCGTTTCTCCTGCCGCTTTGCTGAAGGGGCGCTGAGCAGAGAGGGGGAGAATCCCCCCCCCCCCGTTCTCCCCCTCCTATGGTCCTGTGCATCCTATGGTCCGGTGCATCCTATAAAGCGGAAAATACGGTACTTTACAGTCTCATTTCACTACTGCAGGTAGGCATGTTCAGTTTTATTATTTTCCTGAGTGATGCACACTATCCCCAAGGAGTATGACCTGTTCATATCTCAAGATCCAGAAACACTTTCTTTTCAGGTTTTGAAGACATAGATAGCAGTTGCACTTTTCTTCTACACATTCAGGCATTCACTTACTGCTTCTTTGCAATTTATGTAAGGTTTAGCTATTTAAGAAAATATGTCAGATATGGAATGTATGAGAGTAATTATAGCTCAGTTATAATTGCTTACATGAATTCAGGCTCAATCAGCTCAAAGTCATCTTAAGACTATAGTCCCATGCATACATATAAGGGAGGTGAAACCCCAGTAGGTACAATAGACTGCGATTCCAGATTGGGCTGTATGTCATTCAAAAGACTCAGGAGTTTATAGTTAAAAGGTTAGAATGACCCATGTACAAGACATAAGAGTAAAACCTAAAATTTCTTATCGTGCAGTTGTAATCCGCCTTCAGTGCCATATCTCGGGATGTACTTGACAGACCTGGCATTTATTGAAGAAGGAACACCCAACTTTACTGAAGAAGGCCTTGTCAATTTTTCCAAAATGCGAATGGTAATACTTCTCTCTACATTTTGGTTTCAGTTTATAAGGACTTACTATTGACCATATATTGGCTGCATTTCAAGGTGTGTTATAGGTAGAAATGAGAACGAAATTGTTTATTATTGTATGCAGGGTCAATGTTCTATCACCACCTGCTGGTGAATTTTGGAGCGTCCATAATCCAGTTTATATTTATGTACACACATTTTCCCATTTGTACAAGAGTAAGTTGAAGATGATCAGCTGAGTCAGCTGTTTTGCATTCAGTGAAATATATAGATAATGTAGAACTCCTTACATATAATATAGAACTCCTTAACCAGCATTAGTTGCCTATGAGGAGCATGTATGCGTTTTCCGGCAATCAGAAATGCACAGAAGGGCATAATCAAGCTATTTATTTAGTTCATAAAATGCATATATTATATTTCTTTGTCATGCACAAACAGCATGCTTTGAGAAGAGGGCAGTTTTCAGGAGATAATTAAACTGCAATAGCATTTACAGTTGATTCATAAATGAAATATTAGGTGGATTTGTGTAAATGAGGGAAAGGTCAATATGGCCCAAGTGAGGTTGAAATTGTAATTCAGAAGAAGATACATGTAAAAGTCTCCTGAAACGCCATTTGTTGCAGGATAGAATATTTTAAATTCTAGTGAAGTCAGTGGCTTGGATCCAAAGTTGCTCCTCCATTCACAACTTCCCCTAAACATAACACACACACACACACACACACACACACACACACCGCCTTTTCACACACCATTCCGAAGATTCTCTCAAGCACTGGGAGCAGGGGTTTTTTAATAGCATGCAGGGTGCTGCAGAGGAAAAAAGGAGGCAAGAAAAAACCCATTACAGTGGTACCTCTCGTTACGAACTTAATTTGTTCCGGAGATCCGTTCTTAACCTGAGGTACCACTTTAGCTAATGGGCCCTCCCGCTGCCGCCACGCGATTTCTGTTCTCATCCTGAGGTAAAGTTCTTAACCCAAGGTACTACTTCTGGGCTAGCGGAGTCTGTAACCCAAGGTACCACTGTACATGGCAATAAACTCTGTTCATTCATGAAAGGAAAGTTAGGATCCAAGCTAGTATGTATGAAATTAAACAAGAGACTCTTTTTTTATATTTGTTTCTTTAACAGATATCACATATTATCAGGGAGATACGACAATTCCAACAGACTTCCTATCGCATAGAATACCAACAAAAGGTATTGTACTTTCATCTGTCCTCTTGCACCAATATAAAGTTTCTGTGGTGCTCTAGGTGTACAACCACATTTTTCATTTAGTGGAAAAGGAGATGTTTATGTTAAATCTAAAATACTGGCTAGATCATTTGTTTTCCTTGAATAGCACAATAAGTTCTGTTCAGGAAGGGTGCAATGGGAACAGTGATCTGATATGTCCTATTTACAGGGACAGCAAGCTAGCCCTAAGTTTATAATTGCAGAGTCTCCAATAAATTGCATTATCTGTGGAATTCCACATTTATTACTTTTGCTAAAGACTTACATTTGTGAAATAATGTGGATTAGGGATGGGAGGCTGGAAGATTGTTTGAGATCTACTTGGGTATTTGCAGTACAGTACCGTATTTTTCGTCCCATAGGATGCTCTGTTCCCATAGGACGCACCTAGTTTTTTTGGGGGGAAATAAAGGAAGTCCCCCCCTTTATTCCCCCCCCCAAACCAGGTCGGGGAAACCAAACCAGGTCGAGGAACAGCAGGATGGCAGCGCTGCGCCTCCTTGCTATCCCCCGAGCTTGTGGGGCTGGCCAATGTCTGTCCGGCGGGCGGGGCGCTCTGCTTCAGGGCGCCCCTCGTGCCGGGCGGCAGGCTGCTATCCGCAGCCTAGACAGCCCTGCGGGAACTCCCGCAAGGCTGCCTAGGCTGCGGATGTGTTCCTGAAGCCTGGAGAGCGAGAGGGGTCAGTGCGCACCGACCCCTCTCGCTCTCCAAGCTTCAGCGAAAGCCTGCATTCGCCCCATAGGACGCACCCAGATTTACCCTTCATTTTTGGAAGGGAAAAAAGTGCGTCCTATAGGGCGAAAAATACGGTAATTTGTGTTGTAAACAGCTTTGAGATTTGGTTATTTAAAATATAAAGCAGTATAGAAATGAATTTAATAATAATACAGGCAATCCTCGTTTTGCACGGGGGTTCCTTTTCCTTTCTTCTAGGTCACTCAGTACTTACTTGACAAGAGTCTCATCATAGATGAAGATACTTTGTATGAACTATCCCTAAAAATTGAACCTAGGCTGCCTGCCTGAAAAAAATATCAGTGCTGTCCTTCAGCCTACAGAGAACTTTAGAGTAATGGGGAAATTATGCATGATGTGCCCCCCTACAGAATGCAAGGGGGAAAGCTGGAAGAAATTCAAATTCCCTTTTCGATTAAGGGACTCAGAGCCTCACAGAGATTCCTTTTTGGGCACAGAGAAGCAGTTGCTGGAAGTAAAAGACCAAACGCCAGAGATGTTGATTAAACAGCTGTTGTTTTGCAAACGTGACAGTTTAGTGAAACGGAGACCTAATGAAGAAGAAAGGAAATGGCTGTAATAACCACACTGAATGAGGCAATAATGGGGCAAAGTTAAGTATGGATAACACATTCCATTAGACTTCAATGAATGAGGAAATACAAGTGTAAAGCAAGAGGCTTTGCCTACAATGCAGAATCCACAAAGAGCATGCAAGGAACTACATATTTTGATCCAGTTTGCAATTCATCGTGTCCATTGTAAAGTAATATTTTAATCCGTAGATGAAAATATCTAAGAGCATCATCAACTGCATTTGTTATTTAAACCATTCATTCAAAGTATCTTATTTGTCAATAAATCCTGGTATCTCCTTTCCCCAAAGGCTGGGGAGCAGAGATGCAGCATATTAAAAGCTACCTTAATATTGTACATACATTTTTCTTTCTCTAGAAGTATGATGAGTTAATCTAGGGTACAAATGGATACACTACCTTACAATGTTGTCAGACAGACACACTTGGGTGGGACTCTGATATTGGAGTTCCATGGCAAAGCCTGGCCTTATAGAACAGGAATGGGGAACTGACCAATTGTCACGCTGGCTGAGATTGATAGGAATTGCAGGCTAGCAGCATCCATAGGGCCACCAACCCTCCACCCCCTACTATAGTAGATTAATTGCTTTGCTCTTGGTTTTGGCAGAGCTATTTCTATAACTTTTGTTTAAAAATATGTTCCCCAATACTGAGCATACCATGTGTGCTCCTGTGCACATATGCACAGCACTTTTCATGTGTGGGCTTCCTCCATCAACTTTGGAGAGCAGCTGCAAGCAACTAACCCACTGCTAGCACTAAGCTTTTCTCCCTCCTTGCATTAGTACCAAAGCCCTATCTCCCATCAGGAATAGGTCAACCAAAGTAATCTTACGACTGCATCGTATGACTTGGAACTCCTGTTAGTCTCATGTACTTTAGAACTGGTTCTAAAGGTTTAGATGTTGGCAGTGTCAGACAGAATCACACCCATGCATTGCTGCTACATGCCATTGCACTGTGACGTGCATTTAAACACCGCTGAGCCTCACATAATGGTTGCAGGGAGCTCCTTGCACACACTAGAACTCAGTGGAGTCTTTGCAGCCTTGAACATATAGGAATTACTGATTATTTTGCACGTAACAACATTGCTAAGAAAGGTTGATCTATATAAATTACACTCTGGCACCAGTAATTCTGGGGGACAGGAAGAGTAGAAACATTTATTAATTTTTTTTTAAAGCAGTAATTCGTCCACTCATTGGATAAATGAAAACAGACTTTGTTTCCTTTTAAAATACTGCAAAGGATTCCACCTCCACTAACCCCCTTCCCATATGCCATCCTTAAGAACCAAAACTTATGGGACACAATCCAGGGAAAATCAAGCAACTTTAGGTCATATTGAATTCAACAGGAAGAATGTACTTTTAATATTTATCAAATCAGTGTAGTTACTGACTTGTGCCCCTTAGTACTAGCCTTCCCCCTCAATGTGCTCCCTGATTAAGTCCTTTTATTTAAAATGCTTGTGGTACTTCCCATGGTTCTTTGATAACATGTAGCCTCCTTTTTGTAGTTGCATGGAAAGTGAACACAAACACATCACTAAAAACAGAATGCAGATACTAGCACTGTTGAATAACTAGGCTGGAAAAGTGCCCTTACTTTTCCAATGATTTATCAGCCAGTTGACAAAATAGGGCTAAATATCATTATTTACCTCCCTTAAACCCTCTCAGGGAGATAAGTGTTTTAAAAAAAGATTGCCATCTAAGGCATATTTGAACTGATCTTTACCAGACTAAGCTGCTAAATCCTAACAATAGAAAATGGATCTGCCTAGCTTCTGTTTTGTTTGCGCATTTTTTCATCTTTATTTGCACTTTAATATATATTGTCGGCCCAGAGAAGAGCTGAACAATAAATTCCGCTTATGTCTAACTGCAAATACTACTAGCATGTATTAAGTATCTGTGCAGTAATAAGTTTTATTGTTTCTACCTGCTAGAGGCCTGGGTTTTACTATTATTAATAAACGCACGACTGGATGTCAAAGAAGTCTTGGGAAATTCTCAGTAAGTTTTTTTTTTTAAACAAACAAAAAATAAGTAAAATTCCTAAGGCATGTTTTAAGTACTTCTGGTTAATGAATGTGGTAAACTTTAACTTGGGGAATGCTATTTATAGATGTATATTTATTGCTTGTCCTTTCATTAGTGTCCAACAGGAAAAGCAGACTGCATCTTGATGCATGATAAACAGAAGCATGGGTTATTTGGACAAAACACTTATTTTACTGCATATTTTTTTTTAAAATTTTTTTTAATCCATATGGCAGTTATTTAAGAAAGGTGCTCACATCTCAAAAGGAGGTACCTTTTTACTTGTCTGTGGGTTCTCCCCTTTCTATTCTTTTTGTTCCACTCACCTACCCACCACAAAACCTATACAATGTAATACCTATAGTTCTTTATGGGCATTATCTGTGATGTACAGGGGTTGATCATTTATAACTTCATTTTCTTGTATTTCATTTTGCAATATCAGCTTTGTACTTGGGGAGGAGCCTTTGCATATCCTGGTGTATAAGTGCAGCAGAAGGTGCATTTCTGTGTCTTTATCCTATTTATTTTACTCCTGTTATTAAAATATAAGTTAACCCTGTTGCTGTGGGGTCCTTGTTGTCTATGTTTAACCTCTTATAGTTTCACAGTTTAAAGCAAAGCTGAATTGATCACTGTCGCCCCAATCAGATTAAGGAAATTAATGTGTGAAAATGGGCTTCTATGCACATTTCTGCTGTGACACAGTTGCAAGTTAGCTACAAAGTTTAGGAATCTTGACTTGACCTACTAGCATGCACCACTCTCTTGCACAATCTCGTAGAAGAGTACACTTTCATTACAAGTGTTCTGAAGTAGTGAAGGAGGCAATTAGACTGAATTTCAGCACTCCTTTGGCTGTCCAAACCGGCCTATAATTTCTATGGGACATGGTATGGGGATGGTATCCACAATATACAAAATACTGCTCCTACAAACCCACTCACCTCAATAAAAAAATAAATGGGAGAATGATATAGGTTACAAAATAAACCCTACTGAATGGACCAAACTGTGGTCTAAACCACCCTTTAAATCCATCTCAGCCAAAAGAAGGGAACTCACTTTGAAGTTAATCTGTAGATGGTACCTAACGCCATGAAAGCTGGTGCTGATACACCCAGGAATCTCACCAAAATGCTGGAGAGGTTGCCACTCTACAAACACATACCTCCACGTGTGGTGGGATTGCCCCAAAATTCAATCCTTTTGGACATTAGTTATTTTGCATATTTATTGTAGGACTAAACTGAAACTAGAAGCCACTCCAGAACTGGCCTTACTGAATATCTTCCAAGACAGTAATGCACATTAACACTGCAAAGAACTCATGTCATCTACTCTCAGCAAGCAGGAGCATCATAACTAGACACTGGAGGGACCTGCCAGGAGTAAACATGGGCCACTGGTACCAAACCATATGGGAAACAGCCCTACTAGAAAAGCTCATCAACAAACTGAAATTAGCACGGGAACAAACAAAAGAGGATGCCTTCACCCTGGTGTGGCTCTCCTTTATTATATACACAGACCAACAAGACAACAACAGGAACCCACTGACCACATGAATTGATATGGCTAAGCTGACCCAACATCCCCCTCCCACTCACACACACAAACAAAACTCACTGCAGTCAACTATAGGCAACCAACCATGCCCTGCCACCGCCAACAGAAACAAATATTTTTTCCCCAAAGAGAAGTGAACAAAAATGCCAAGACTGAAAAATATTTCTCAGTAGTTTGTGCACTGTGTGGAAGATTGGGCCAACCAGGTCACCCTCTTGCTCCCTCAAGGACATGGCTGTGTAGCCAAATATTTTGAATAGACCTGAAAGGAATGGGGTTGGCCAGTGCAATAAATACTTCTCCCTTTCTTCCCTCCCCTGCCAGCATCTCATTTTGCTCCTCATATGACCTGTAATTTTGTCACAGCACTACTTGTCTGCTTCACACTTCTTTGCTCCCAGGCTCGTTGCAGGACGTGTCTGGCTTCAGCTTCAAGGTCAGTTGGACTTTGCCTCTGTTTATTCACCAATGGCAGTGACATTTCGAATGGGAGGGTTATTAAAAATGTTTTGAAAGTGCCATAGATTGTAGCCTTTTGGGAGATGCAGTTTGCTCATTTGCATAAGTACTCAGAAAACGGCGACTGTGAGATTTGTCAGGCTACTGTGCTGCTGACCCAGATAGCGATACCAAAACAAACATGTTAAATACATGAAAATAAAGCCTTATTTTATGCAAATGGTAATGTTTCTGCAGGCAGCCTGCTGAGCAGACAACTTAAAAAATGTCAGCACTGTCCATAGATGTGTTCCATTAACTAGAGAAGCTGAAATGGTATTGTAGATGGGCGTTTTTAATTGGTGTAACCGAACTCTGTAACCTAAGATTTGATCAGTATCGAGATTTATCTCTGTCTGAATTGCATGTCTCCAAATTGGCCAACTGATCTCAGTAAAGAATTTTGCTTCATTTACATGCCTTGTTTGGTTTCACATCTACTCAGAAGTAAGCCCCATCGAGTTCAATGAGGCTTACTCCAAAGGGATTACAGAATAACAGCCCAGATTAACAAGTACTGTAATAAGCAAACATCAGATGCTGGGGTTTTGAACAAGTTAAAATAAGCCCACTTCCAGGTCTATTCTCTTCTTTATGAAAGCAAATAGTCCTTTTTCATTGCTCCATATTTCATAAAATTGCACCGCAGAATTCCGTAGAACTCTACAGTAACAGTTCTAAACACACTTACTTGGAAGTGAGCTCTGCTGAACACCTCTTTCTAACTAAATATGCATACGAATGCTCTGCTAGAGTGTTCCTTGTTTTTAAATTTTAGATCTGGCAAGCCTGTAAACAGATCTCATCTGCCAGCAGAGGAACTCGAGAGATTAATTATCGTTGATTATAACCTTTCCCTGTCCCTTATAGTCTAATCGGCAAACTAGCTATATTAGAATAGTTACATAATATAACCAGAGCCATAGACTGTTACCCCTATGCTGCATAGAGTACAACCACTGTATATAGGAATTTAAGTAACCATGTCCATAGATTCTGTAGGTCAATTCTGCATATGATTTAGTTGGATATCACCCACAGAACACACATTTTCTTTGAATGCAGCTTCTAGCCAAGTGCTTAGGATCACAGGTCAGACCAGCTTAGACTGCGATAATATGACATAAATGGTTCATCAGGTAGTGTAGTTTAACAGTTTGTGGACTAACTGTAGAGTATTTTGAACTATTCTTTACCATGCTGGTGTTCATAATCAAACTCTGTATGATATAAAACTACTAGTACCTTACGATAATCCACAGTGATACAATATCCTAGCCTGACAAATGAAGTGCATTGTTTCATTTGCTTACATAATTGAGCGGTCCTGAATGTACGCAAGTATTACGATTAAAATTAAGATTTAATTAATTTTATGTATGTATTGGTTTGTTCATCTGCTTACTTTCTGAATTTATGAACTCATTCTTCAGTACTGATACCCAAGGCACTGGATCAGGAACTGATTAGCAAAACCTTGAAAGACATTTTTATACTTTAGAAACAGAGCAGCCATTATTGTTATTTGAGAATGGAGATAGTTCTCAAATACAGATACACCAATGTATCTACCCAAACACTCTTTGATTTTTAAAAAATGATGTTTGGGTTTTGTTTTGTTTAAGCCAGTGCAAGATGCAAATTTGTTCCTTTATCAGCTCTCTAATCTGTTTGTCTTCTTGTTTCTTTGCTGTTTGAACTACATCTGTGCTGTATCTCAGTGGATGCATAACATTTAGCTTAAGCAACAGCTTAAGGTGTCTTGAAAAAGTCAAGAGTCACATGATACATATGATGCATTTCTATTCTACTAGGACAGTATTTTATCTATAGCTATTTCTAAACGGCTGAGTTTCCTGCCAGTAGAATTTTTGCCTAAAAAGCAAAACAAAAAACCAAGCCGCCATACACTTCCTAATATTAATGAAAGAAGGAAAGAAATGAGCAAAGAGTGCTCCTGCCACAGCCATTTCTCCTTTCGCAGCTCTAGCTTCAGTGCTTTAACATGCAGTTTATAAATTCGCTGTGCTTAATCTGACACCGTTTGAACACGCAAGCCAAGGGGACAACTGTCCTGGAAAATGTTGCCGATATGGGAGGTGCTAACTTTAGGTCAGCTCTGAAACTCCTGCCAAAAGTAACACGAGGGATCTTTGCTGTTCTTAAACTGAAACTAATAGGAAGTGCTGGAGCTCAGTGTAGTAAAAGACATATCCTCTGACCTGGAAGACCTTTCCCTAATTTCATATGGGGGGGGGGAGAGTTAATTGTGCTTGGTTAGTGATGAGGAAAATTCCTTTTGCACACAGCTAAATGTTGCAGTCCCAACTAACATGATACACGGGGCTCAGATTACAAGCCTTGGCACCTGCACTTAAAAGGAGCCTGGGGCCTGACTCTGGTACTTCCTGGACCGAAATATAGTGCTGAAACTGGATTTCTGATTGTCCTAGTTGCAGTGGGCTTGCCACACTGACTCTGCTAGAGGATGTCATGTTCTTCTTTATGCAGATAAACCTATAGGACAGTGTTTTCCAAACTGTATTTTGCGACACGTTAGTGTGTCAGCTGCAGTGTGTAGGTGTATAACGCAAATGCTACCAGGGCTGGAAAGGGGTTCGTTTATCTTTAGAACTTTTTTTTTTAAGATTGGGTGTTTAAAGTTAAAGACTATCAAAAAACCGGCAAAGTGGAGTTAAGAGGGATTCGAACATGGATGTGAGGCCTCAGGCTGATAGAAGTTAGGCTGATGGACATTGGGGATCGACACCGGGAAAGGGGGGAGGGAGATTTGGAATCCAAAGGGTGAAAAATTATATTTTGAATTTACTTTCTTTTCATTTTTTAACTTTTGTGTGTATTAAAAAGGGGAATTCGTGGAAGGGAATTGGGGTCGTCAGGGAGAAAAAAAAATTTAAATGTTGACAGAAGGTATTTTTAAGGGAAAGGGATTATATAAGATGAATTAAATTGAATATTGGGTTAAAGATGATAAGTTTTAAATTTGGGGGAAAAAACTTGTGGAATTAACTTAATGGAAATGGAATACAATGGGGGGAGGAGTGGGGAAGTCCTAGAAAGATGTTAATGAAAAAAAGGCTTTAAATACCCTTTTTCTTCTTTTTTATATTTTGGACTTTTTGGAAATTTTAATAAATATGATTTTAAAAAAAGAAAAAAAGAAAGGGGTTCGTTTAACCTGCCCTTCGCTGGAGTATATTTCTGTCTTATTTTGTGCTCCCCACTTCCCCCAGCAGTAAGAAGCCCATGAGCAGCGCTCCAGTGTTTAGGGTCCTTTGAGGAAGGTGGTGGGGGAGAGACAGCAAGCACACTGGAGACTCATAATATGTCTTTCGTGATATCTACATATTAACAACATATAGAATCGAACCAATTGGATGTAAGCAGACTCAAAAAGCAGGCAGCACAACTGCTAATCCTGCATCAAACTCCACAAAGCCAACTGCTTTCCCCCATGTCTCTGCCCAAATTCAACCAGCAAAAAAAATCTCTTCCCTCTGCTTCTCTAGCTCACTGCAGATGCTCGGCTGCAACAAGGTCATGTCTGCTAGCATGACCTCAGTGGCTGCACTTTCAACATTTATGATTGGCTACAGATGTGTTGCATCAGGAGACATAGCTAGCAGGGGCAGTCCTGCCTTCCTCTCCATGTGTTCAGTGTATGCATTTGGGACGGGGGTATCTGCACACTCCTCCTGCTCCTCACACAAATTATCATGGATATTGTTCCAAAGACTAGAGCATTTAGCCCTCTTCATTGGATCACTCATCTAGTTTGCCAGGCAAAAACTTCAGTGGTGTTTATCAGAGAAAAGCCAAAGTCATCATTGTATAATATCTACCTAAAGGTAACTTGCCATTCTTTAGCAAGAGATCCCAGAGCACATTATGAATGTTCCAGATATGTTTTGGGACTGGACATTGATGAAAACAGGTTGCAAGGTGACTCCTGGGGAGCCATGATGCCAGTGTGAATCAGAGGGGAATGCCTGCACCATAAGCATATATATTTTTTGCTTTCTTTTATCTTACTTGCACAGCTGTGCTTAAAAAGCTTTAAAAACATAACCCCATGATGAAAGAAGCTTAAATTCTTCAGTGAGAATAAAAGAGACAAATGGAAAAACTGTCATTCTCCACTATACATTATAGTAGAGCACTTCCTGTGGGCATCTGAAATGAAGCAAGCCATTACCAGAGAGAAGGCCTTCTCGGTGGTGGTGCCTCAATTGCAGAACACTCACCTTTATTGTCTTCTTGGTACCAGGCTTTTCAAATGAGAGCTGTGGTTTTCTTAAAAACAGTTCTTTCAAAGGGATGCACTAGTGTTGCAGATAGGAAGTACAGCAGGTGCACCATCTTAAGTTGTCACATAGTGCAGTGGGCATAGGAGAGTGGTTTGCCTGCAACTATTTACATGAAGCAGAAGCCAATTTGAGGTTTCTGTTGGAGAGAGGGGTTTGGAAGAGAGATTCCTACTCTCTCATAGCCGATTAAGCACAATAGTGATTGCTACCAAGCACATTAAAACTTGGGTTAGATTTACATTTACCCTTATTCACCTTTAAGCAAACATTCTCCAAGAAAATACTTAGGCTAGAATAAATTACAGACACGCTTTTCAAATAAGGGAATGTTTTACTCACAAAGTTTCCAGAAGTTACAGCAAATAAGTCTCTATCTGCTGGCAGTAAAATGAAGATGAAACAGGTTCCAAATGACTTTAAAAGGAAAATAACTGTTTCATTTCAGAAAGCTCCATGCAATATTGGGATTAGTGAATATGCAGGCTTTAAAATCTCCTTTTAGAAAGACTGAACTCACTTGCAGTGAGCCATGACTGTATGACTTCTTGCTTGTCCCAGGAAGCAGGAAGAGAGAGAGAGAAAAAAGAATGGGAGGGAGGAAACAAAAGGCTGTAAGGAGGTTACTAGCTCCACCTCCACTGGCACCCTGAGCTCAGGTTAACCCTTTCTATGCATGCAAGTGTGAGTCAGTAATTGTATATTACAACACTTACAATGGGCTGTGGGAAGTTGGGGAAATGCACTAAGGCAAGGGAAAGAATCCAATCAAGAATTAAAGGGCTGTTTTTGGATATACTCAATATCAAATTGAAAGTAACACTTCCTATGGTTGCTTTCTTATATCTCATTTTAAGCAAATAGGTAGATAGCAATCCTAAGGAATATCATGGTTTGAATCTCTCAGCAGAAGGGACCGATGGGCACTTTTGTTAAGGTTCGTCCTTGATAAAATAAAAATACATTGGGAGCAATTAAGAATAACTTGTGCAAGTTTTAGTGGCTAATTGCCAAACTATTGAATGAATTCTATTGTCAGCAACTAGTCTGAGTATTTGATTTTCTTTTATTGAACGAACAAGTACTGTCTGCTTTGAAAGCTTGGATCACAGCACAAATCTGCTTGAAGAAATTCTGGAGAAAGGTGAAAGCTTTCAAGTGTGTGACCTTCTACATTGACTGCCCTCCATTCCTTGAAGTTCACATATCAGGCTCAGGTTAAGAAATGTTGCTCTAGAAAAAGCAATTAAATTTGCTCCATGTTTGTGGCAGTCAGCATTAGCTTGAAAGGTCAGTGATAACAAATTAGCAGCAAGGGCCGCTTTTGAAATCTGTGCACAAAATTAAAATGGTGTGCTTTGTTTAGTCACCAGTGTTCTCTGTTAATTACTCCCACACAAATTTTTCGAATACCGTATGTCATGCATTGATCCCTCTTTTAACTCTCTTATAAAATGGAATCGGGGTGCCATAAATGCACTTAGCAGCTGTCTCTGTCCTAGCTGATGTGAGTTTCTCCATTGCTGTAGTCAGACACCTTTTGGCATTTTATTGCTAAAAGACCAAGTCACCTTGACTACTACATTATTGGGGCAGGACAGTAACTCCCTGGTAAAGCGCATGCACACACAAAACCCTGAGATCAATCCCTGGCATTTCCAGGTGGGCAAGTCTGTAAAGCACTACTTTCTGAAACCCAGGAGAAAGCCCAGTCAGAGTGATAGGCAGCCCTCAGCTTGGTAGACCAACGGCAATGCAATAAAGCAACTTTCCATCTTCCTAGCCACAACTTGCTTCATTCTGGTTGCAAATGGAACTCTCACAACCTTTAACTATGACCCATTCAGAGACTCTTTGGGAAAGCTGAAGACTCTTGGATATGTGTTGTGTACTGAATTTATTTATGAATGTGTCCGCCCCAACAGCCACATTATATTTTAGGGAAGCCTCAGGGCAGCTTATAATACAAGTAAAAAACCCCAGATGAACCATATTAATATGGGTCCTCAGGGTTTTTTTTCAGGGGGAACTCACCAGAACTCAGATCCAACACCTCTCAGGTGGGCGCCATTGGCATTCTAAGAGAAAGAGGGAGGCATTCATGGTGAGTTCCAGTACCTCTTTTTCTAGAAAAATAGCAATGTGGGTCCCTGTGAATTAGTTGAAAAGGCAGGAGAGGTTCATATGCTGGGAGGACTCACCCAGATAGAACTTCCAGCTGTCCGTGATCAAAGAGGTCTAAGAAATAGTCCTCTAGCCAGAGTAGGATTGAACCATCTTCTAAAATAGGCAGCTTTATGGTGCAACTCTTCCCATTCTCTCTGCAGAAGTAAGTTCTGTTGCAATGGGCTGCATTCCCAGGTACAGGACAGCACCCTCTGGGTCTGGCTGGACTCAACCCCACAGCATGACATCAGACAGGATTTCATTACTGTTACTGCCAAGCTTCAGCCAAAGAAAGTTTCTTATAGGGAAACCAGCCAGACCAGCAAATGTGCCTCTTAATGGCAGTAATGCACAGTGGATCATGTCATACTGGCTGACTCCTATAAGAATTTCCAAGTCAGGCTTGTTCTGGTCAGAGCAATAACCAACAAGGCTGCTATGTTTTCCTGTAAGAGATCACCTTTGCTCCTCTAACCTGACTGGAGCATCTGGTATTACCTTGTTTGGTAGAGCCATAACTTTGATAGATGTGCTAAGTTATCCATACATCCCACAACTGGGTGAGAAGTCTAAATAGGATTGCCAGGTTCCAGGTTAGGGACAATAACATGATTTCAACCAGGGTTCTGCTCTCTCTGCTTGGATTCAGACTTGGAATATGGAAAGGAGGAAGGAAGCTATTATTGCATGGAATAATGTACAGAATTGCCTTGTCCTCAGCATCATGCTCACTGTGCTCTTGCTCAAATTCCTTGCATTCAGTGTTCCTCTGTGGGAAAAGGCTGCATGGAACGTGCAGGTTATACACATTAAGGGTCTCTCCATGTGTCCAGTGTACAAGTTCTTAGACTAAGTGAAAAGCGGCATGAGACATTTTCATACAGCAGGTCTTAATATAAGGCTATCAGCTTGGTGGAAAATCAAGGGCAATATTTCCTTCCCAATTTCCCCTTCCAGATGCTAGGAGTATGGATAAAGACCAAGCGGTCTGTCTGGAAAAAAAATATGCCATTGAGACATTGGACATCGTTTTGTTATGTATTTGAGGCATTAGTGCTAGGATGACACATCACTGGCCTCTGCTGTAGGGCATCAGGATATGTCACAGTAAAAGCAAACAAAACACATTCAGTTCAGCAGTATTGTCTAGGCTGCTCTCCAAGAGTAATGGGATTTAATATAATAACTTCCACTTGCAGTAAAATAAAGCAGGGAAGTAATAAAGGCACCAGCAATGTGAGGAATTATACTGCAGATTCACACTGCACTCAGCGGCGGGGGGAAATACAGAACACACAGACCCACAACTTTTCTGAAACCCAACTCTGACTACCAGGAAATAATTCCTGGGAAAAGTATAGACAGCGCAGATTCTCAGAAGTAAAACAGAACGGCACTAGCCAAAGAGTTGTGGCTGACACCTGCAGCACCCTTAACTAAATACAGTTCCCAGGATTCTTTGGGGGACGCCATGACTCTTTGAAGTGGCACTATACTGCTTCAAATGTGCATTGCCGATGGGGCCAGAGTATTATTGTGGCTCCATACTTCGAATCAACTGTAGAATTGGAAGGGACCAGTAGGAATATTTTCCCTAATGTGGGGCTCAAACCCACGACCCTGAGATTTAAGAGTCTTATGCTCTACCAACTGAGCTATTGCAGAACTGAGGAATGCATGCTCATTACAACACCTAAACAGAACCCTCATTGAATGGCATTCTAATGAATGAGTGTAGGTTGCAAAGTGGACCCTCAATCATGCTGCTGCCCTCCCAATATGCATTCATTCTAGACACACACATAGACAACATCTGCAACAGATTTATGGCTGTGTGCATTCTGATGAAATAGTCATCACGCAAAAGTATTGAAATTACCACATCTGAAAGGAACTTTAGAATCAACCCTGTATGTTTTGTTCCCCCCACTTACACCCCTTCATTCCCCCGCCCCTCATTGCCCACAAGCTTGCCTACTCTCATCCTCCTTTGTGTTCTCCACCCACTCCTGCCGTTCTGTGCCTTCTGTTATGCATGCCTCACATATGGGAGCATGTACTAATTTTAGATGCTAGTTAAGAGCCAAGGTTGATGAAACTAGCATAGGGGTGAGAGCAAAGGCAGCTCAGCTTGCTCCAGGATCAGGTGTTCTATCAGTTAATGTCACTGGAGGTTAAGGACACATGGAATAAGCTACTGGGAAAAGCAGGACTGAAAGGGCTACCAGCTAGTAGCAATGTTTGAAAATCCAAGGCATGTGAATTAGATTTACGCACAGCAGATAAATGTCTTAAATAAGACCACATCCACAAGTGAATTTCAAAACCAGGTCATTGTAACACCAAATAACCTGAATAAGGGAATGAATCACACATTGTTTTCTAACACAGAAAAATCCCCCTCTATTGAATTTAACTATATCTTCAAATTACCTGGTGGAGTGTTGGTGTGAAATGGTTTCTGTGAACTAGAGTCTTTTCCATGTAAACCACATCTGGACACGGGGTGAGGGGGTACAGCAATGGCACCCAGTAAGGCTTTTTACAAATAATGTGATCCTCTACCCTAACGTTCAGACTTTTAAAGCAAACATCTTGTTGATATCATTTAGGCTTTTGCCTTTCCACATTGCAATTTTCTGATCTATCCAGCTCATTGTATGAAAGGGCTTCAAGGTGTAAAAATAATAAGTCTGCCAGTCAATCAATCACTGCTAGTACAATGTACATGATGACTGTGTCACATTCCATTACTTTAAGGAATGGGTGGGATATGAAAACAACTTTTCATGCAGTGCCTCCTTGCCAACAGAAATGGCATGAGCTAGCTAAACATGACAGACCGTCTGATGCCATTAATGTTACCTGTGACTTGATGGAATATCCTACATTCAACAGGGGCAACGCACGGGTTATTTTTATGAAGATCATTGTCTTGTTCTATTTTCTTAATTTTGACAGATTACCAGTCTAAGAAAATACACTAGAAGGCACAATCCCTTGACAGAATAAAAATGCAATATATATCATTCAGAACAGAAGCAATTCCAGCAATTTCATACCCCTTGGTATGACAGTATTTCTTGACCCTCATGGCTATTTTGAAGTCACAAGAATTACTTCTATTAACTGCAGTAAGCATTTAGAGATGGGCTCCCCCAAGCTCAAAATGGCCTGAGATTTCAGTGAACCTTTTGCTATGGAAAAGTGGACCTTAAAGGCTGTGTTCAATTAACTCATTTAATTTTGAATGTGAAACTAGACACTGGAGTCCTATCACCCTCTAGCATAAGCCCTTTGAACTTTATAAAGATGCATGTGTTCGATGGTGGGAAGAGGGTTTCTGCTTGCTCTAAAGTAGTCCGCCCCCACGGACTCAGCTGCCACCCACAAATGTACACACAGAGAAAAGGATCAGTTGAACTAAAAGTGAAGGATGGGCTCCTTCCTTCATTGCTAGCTGAGCTTATAGCCACCCACCTCAATACAGACATTCTTAGCCTACTGATAGATAAACGCAAGCCAGGCAATGCAGTATTATGCAGCGTACAACTGAACCCACATGCACGTTCAACACTTGTATATATTCGGATGCTGCTGCAGACTGCAAGGTCACAAATATGCAAGAGCGATACACTCACTAAGCCTGCACATACCTTAGATCTAAAGTGTAAAAGAGTCCCTAACTACCCAAAAGCAATGTGCCACAGACCAAGCAAATAAGAGAGCAAAAGAAAAGAGAAAGGAGGCATATCTGACCAAAAAGCATAACACAAAGACAAGGATCAGAGATCTCTGCCTTCTGCAAGAGCTAAGTGTTTCTCTTAAAATCTTACACCAGCCAAGCAACCATCTCTTAGTCTTTCCCATTCCTTAGCCCATGGGCCAGCAAAGCATAGGTCTGACCTTTGAGAACATTGAGGAGCAAAGAGGTGTCCCACTGGAGCTTGTGGAATATCCAACTATTGAAAATCTGGGGTTTAAGTACAGTTCGGAGCCAACTATTCTCTACTGAGAGCGGAGGGGGATATTGGTTGAGTGAATACTGTAATACCCTTATTCCTTTGAACAATTACTTATTTCCTGTATTTTTTATCCTTTTGTTTACTCCAATAGGTTTGAAGTTGAAGGGACATGAACCTAGCGAGAAATGACTAACTGGAGTTTGTTGTTGCAATGAATAAAAAGTGAATTCATTTAAAAGTGTCACTGAAGTTCAGAGTAGTTTCCCCCCTCATTATTTATTGTCTTAATGAATGGAGCCTAAAATTACAACAATTAGTGAGGGGGGGTGTCCATGAATTATTTCGAGGTTAAAAGGGGGTTGTCGTACTCCTGAAGTTTAGGAACCACTGGGCTATAGTAACTGCTGCTAAATGATGAGGTTGACAGCACAGTGCATGCATGCATTACTACTTCTGTCACCTTGAAATAGGCTAAAATGTACCCAGAATACAGTGGGACCTCGAGTTAAGAACTTAATTCGTTCTGGAGGTCCGTACTTAACCTGAAACTGTTCTTAACCTGAAGCACCACTTTAGCTTATGGGGCCTCCGGCTGCCACCGTGCCGCCGGTGCACAATTTCTGTTCTCATCCTGAAGCAAAGTTCTTAACCCGAGGTACTCTTTCTGGGTTAGTGGAGTCTGTAACCTGAAGCGTCTGTAACCTGAGGCGTATGTAACCCGAGGTACCACTATACATGGGTTTCTTACAAAATACAAGGCAGCTACTCTGTGATTACAGCAAAGGAACAATAGGTGAAAAGTAGGATGATATTCTTAATCCATCTTGACAACTGGGTTTCTAAAATGGAGGCCAGTCTGAATTTCAGGAATTAATTACTCCAGGTATGAAACATTTTATACCTCTCCCTCGAAGCACTATAAAACTTGGCTA